GAGCCACGGACAAAGGAAGCCACAGACGTAAATGAAATCAATTAAAATTTATCACATGCCAGTTGGTTCCATTAAGGCGACACACACGCACCGAAGACGCACCGTTGCCGCGTGATGGTCCCCAAGGTGCAATTCGTTAGCCATTTCGAGGACAATGGCGGTCAGGATGTGGCTGAGGCTGTGGCTGTAATTTGTCCTGGCGCCGCGTTTGTCGCTTTAAATAATAAAAACATTTGATTTGCCAACTTTGGCACGTGGCAGGACCTTACCAGGAGTCACAGGACTCAGACTGCGACTGGCTGAGAATGCGCAAGCAAATCGCAGATAAAGCCAACGCGTAAATTAATGGGCGGCACGTGTCGAGGCTGCTCGTGTGGAGAGGATTGGATTGGATTGGTTTGGTTTGGTTTGGCTTGGGATTCAATCGGATGACTCTGCTGTGTCCACTGGCTGGGTGGGTGGTCGGACGACACGACGGCATGTGTGGGAGCAGCTTATGGCCAGCAAATTATCGACTCTACTTATACTGGTGTGTTGATGGCAAGTGATGAGCTGACCCCCAGAGTGTTTGCTCTGCGGCTGATAATTGAGGCGTAAATGTTGGCACACGTCCGGGATAGCGTCCGCAGCACGTCCGGGGCTTAAGTTGATACATTGTTGCCACACTGCCACTGCCAAGTGGAGTTTATGAAGCGGTTTTACAATGTCCCAGCTCACTCTGACATTCACATTCATTGTTTTAGTATGACAACAATGTGGGATGATAACCCCATCAAATTTTGATAGGGAAATACGACCATCAGCTAGCTATGCGGGTATGCAGCTCATTGTGCAGTTCATAAAAAGTTAATAAACCCTTGGAAGTATCAATGGCTGCACAACAAAAGAGTTGGCCTGGCCCCTTAAATAAAAGCGAGCTTTTGATTTTCCAGTTGATGTTGTGGTTTCAAAGTGCCCGACCAAACCTTTGACCATATGCGCTGAAAATTATCCAGAGGAAAGTACCTCCCTATGATATAGAAAGAATACCCTTAAAATGGCAGTTTATTCTTATGCATAAAAAGAATATCTGCGTAAATAAAACTGAAATCGGTCATAGCTTAGCATTTCGCTATTATTCTATCGCATAAATATAAAAAATATGGCACAAATATCAATACATTTATATTCTTTCGTGGAATACCTAAAGATATATCATCATAGTTCCCCCAGAAAGAGTATAAGTATAAACAGGCAACGATTAAAACCACCCCAGTGAAAAATCGCATAGCTCAAAGAAAGTCACACCACCAAAGGCAGGGATTACTTTCCATGGATGGATTTCCAGTGAGGGGGACGCCTGGCATATGGCCACTTGGCAGCGTTCAAAAATCAACGAAGGATATGCTAACAACACCAGAGAGGATGGGTTAACAATTGTCAAATAACCACAGGACATGCACATGAATGCTTCTCCTGTGTGATTTGTGATTGCATGTGTGCAAGAAAGGACACCCAAAGGTGGGGATGGATACGTAGGACGGTCGCTTTGATCCTTGATTGGACCTGGACCCACTCGAGGGCCCATCTGGACCAGAGTCTAACTGACTGACTGACTGACTGGGCTGAGTGATTGATTGATGAGCTAAGAAACACAGCCTAGCCGTGGCGACAGATTTGAGAATTCCGCATCAGCGAATGCTTTAATCGAGTTAAGGGCGCAACCGACTTGAGCTTCAAATTAAATGGTGTCAATGTCAATGGTGTCCTGCCATAAAAACTGATGACCAGCACAGATAAAATGGCTTTTATGTTATTGCTCCACTCCAAGCCACGGCCCCAACTGCAGACAGCGACCGCAAAACAATATTTAAATTTCAAAAGTTGCGAGTGTACGAGTTAAATGAAGCAGAAGCAAGATTGTTGTCACAGGCGAAAAAAAAAAAAAAAAAAACATTTTTGGAACTCGCTTCGATGGAGGGGTGGATGGAAAACAAAGACAGAGAATAAACGGTTAAGGCAGCAGTACAAAACATACACTTTATATATATATTTGTAGCACTCTAAGCAGACCACGCCCATTAAATTAGATTGACACTCATGGCGGACACATTTTGGGAAATTGATCCCAAGGACCTGCTGGCCAGGAGGAGAGCATACAACTATCCAAGTTATCGTCATAAATCATACATCAACAGGATGGGACGGAAAACAAAAAACCCTCCCAGGCACACACGCCTCCCCATCTGTGACAGCAGCGCTAGCTAATGATGTCTTAAAAAACGATTCAGGAACTGGTCATGTGACACGACACCAAATGTGGGGGAGCCAATCGATGTCCTCAGGTCAAACGCATTATCAAAATTGCCGTTTCAGCTGCCGAGAACGAGGGCTAGGAGCAGATCCGTAGAGAAGGCTGTGCATGTCTGGGGAAATTGAATTTCAACGACCCTAAATGGGTCGCACCAGCAAAACCTCCGCAACAGAGTAACAATATTTTTCCAAATCGGCTTTAAGTCATGAAAAATAATAGACAACCCAAACCCTCCAACCATCCAACCACTGCTCAACGAGGCCGAGTAGTAAAAAGCAGATTGCGAGGCGCGTCAGCCAGGCCAAGAGACGATTGTGGAACACATGCTGTGCGCATATGATGACTGACTGACGACGACGATGGCGATGGTGATGATGATGACGGCTTTGCCGCTTATCAACAAGGGAACACGCATGGGTGGTAACAAACAACGAGAGGAGCAGGCTGGCCAAGCAACATGTGAGGATTAAAATATACAAGTAATATATATGATACCAAAGTAATTGTTCCAAAAAAAAAACACCACCACCAGAGAGAACTTTCAAAAGTAGTTCAGGTATACAGGTATATATTTAAACAGAAACTCAACTCACATTCGTCTACTCCACATCGTCCGGTATCTCCGAGTCCTCAATCGTTCGCGTTGCGGGTATATAAACTTTGAAGGCAAACTTGGACTTGACGAAGGAGCCGGTATTGAGCACAGTGCAACCATGCTGGCTGCTACTGAAGCTCTGACACGAATCACCAATGACTATCAGATCCGGCAGCGGATAGAGCCACAGGCCCGGATCATAGTCCCAGTGCACAGGCATGGCAATGGGATGTATGGGCACCAGGTGACCCTGACACACAATGGTTCTCGAAAAGTGCTGCTCAATTTGGGATGTGTCCTCGGGAAAGTGCAGCGTATTGCGGCAAAACTTCGCCATGAGATCCAAGCGGCAGACAACGATCTGTTGCGTACAATACTGAAGCCGGCAGGGATTCGTTGCCAACTGGGTGCGCGGCCAGGCCTTGAGCAGCCCCGCTGCCAGGCATTCTGGTATCGGAGCCCGCGGCAGAATGTTTGGCGCTGTTGGATCCTCGGCGGAGGGCACTAGAATCAAATCTGTTTGTTTTTTCAGCTGTTCACAGCCTGCTGCCAGAGCACCCAATGCATCCAAATACTGACGCATTTCGTGATGGTTTCGGGTGCTGGCCGTGAATGGTCCCATGAGCACAATGGCCTGGGGCGGGCAGGAATCGTAGCCGACAAAGAGCTGGCGCAGCTTTTCGATGACCACAGGCAGATCCAGACGCACATCAGACAGAAATACAATCGTGGTTTCTGTATTGGTGCGCTCCAGCTCTTGCAGGCGCGGAGAGTACTTCAGAAGCTTGCTGGACTCGCCGCCCCAAGTGTTGGCTGTGCCGAAAAAGGCGCGACTGCTGGTAGCAGGCTCAGCAGGTGGAAAGCCCAGGCCATCAACTGGAAAAAATATACAATTAGCGATCTGATGGAAAGCGACATACTGGCATACCTTTCAGCACGCCATTGGAATAGTTGCCCTCGGCCAGCACAAAGCAGCCCTCGCAGAAGAAGCCGGCGTGGAAGCGAGCTCCACTCAAATCCAGTTCGATAGAGCCAGTGGGATCTTCCACATAGAACTTGCCCTCCTTCAGCTGGGTAAGCAGTCCCAATACCACAGCCTCCCTCATTGTGGAGGTGGCCAGCAAGTTCTCTGCAAACTGCAATTTGAACTTTTTGGCCTGGGCGTCCGCACCGACGCCGTCCTGGATGACCGCCGGAGCAAACAAATCGTGGCGCAGTGTCTTTTGCAGCAGCATGGCATAGCGCTGCTGCATATAGTCAGACTTCATGCGCGGGGCGCTCAACAGCTGACGCGGCGTCACATCCGGCTCGAACTTCTTGATGCGTGTGTTGTACCGATACCGGGGCACTGTGAAAGCATCAATCAATGCGAATACCGTCTCACCCTCGTCCAGGCCCACACGATTCAGCTCATTTATGGCCTTTTCCAGAGCCGCGCGCTCAACGTGCGGCGTCGCCAACTTCTGTCCCTGCAAGTTCTCGGTGATCACAGTCAGCCATTTGTCCCGCTCATCCGCATCAAAGGGCAGCAGTTGCTCGGCCAAATAAGTACTGTGCTCCGACCGAATCAGAAAGCCGCATAGCTTAAAATTATTTGCAATTCTTTTTCGAAGATAAATTAATTCCGCGTCCATTCCCGCGAATTTTTTGATTCGGTATATACCCTCAGGAATATACCAAAATATAATTATCAAAATATACCGTAAATATACCGCACATATACTGACAAAATGCGTTCATATTTCTCGTTTTTGATATTCGGTTTAATATTACTAGCTAGTTGGCCCTCTCAGCCCTAAACAAATAATTTTATCCAATTCCTCAATGAATTCTGTTCAGGATTGGCTAGTTTTCAGAACTTTTCTGTATTGGATTCGTTACATAATAAGGTTCAAACAAAAACGGCCAAAGCATAAATCTTTTCTGTTCACCGGAATGTGACGTCAGTGTTGCTGGTCAACCAAGTTTCTTCTATTCTATCTACCACCACAATTTGAGAGCGAATAATATCGATAGTTTTGTTGGCGGTCATTTTAAAGTACTTCAAAAAAATAGATTGGGACTTATATAATCGAATCGAAATAAACCGCAAAATTCAAGTTCAATTTGGTTAATTTCAAGTTCAAACGCAATCAGGGTTGCTTTTGCTATACAATCAAAATTGTCGGTACCAAGTCGGCGCCTTGAGCAAATCCTTTTCAAAATGTCAGATAAATGCATGGACTTTAACGAGTTCTTACCGTACATCGGGGAATTCGGAGCCTATCAAAAACGCCTTCTCCTGTACATGATGCCATTTTCCTTTATGTTCGCTCTCATTTACTTGGCGCAAATATTCATATTACTTGTACCCCATGATCATTGGTGTCGCATCCAAGGGCTAGAGGGCTTGCCGAAAGCGAAGCAACTGGATCTTGGAATCCCGAAGGATACGGACGGCGTGTACGACAGGTGTTCAATGTACGATGTCGACTATAAGCTGCACTCCAATGCCACAACTGCAAATGAGAGTTGGCCAAAGATTAAGTGCCGCGAAGGTTGGATATACGACAAGAGTCAGGTGCCATATGACACCATTTCCACGCAGTACCATTGGGTATGCCAACACCATGACTATGTCGCCTACGCGATCGCTGCCAGTTTTGTGGGCTCGATGTTTGGCTGTCTGTCCCTCGGATACGTGGCAGATCATTGGGGCCGTATTCCTGCGTTGTTTCTGGCCAATGCATGTGCCTTACTGGGCGGTCTTCTGAGTGCCGTCTGCACGAACTTTTACACCTTTGCAGCGGCCAGTGTGCTGCAGGGTTGGTCCTACGATACCTGCTTCACCGCCATTTACATACTAAGTGGGTTAAAACTTCCAATTTCGACGGTACAGCTATACTGATATTTCATCCTAGTGATGGAGACTGTGGGCCCAGAATATCGTACGCTGACAGCCAACCTCTCGCTGGCCACTTTCTATACTTTGGGGGCGTGCGTACTCCCCTGGATAGCCTATGCCTGCAACAATTGGAGGACATTCGCTGTGGTTACCTCAGCGCCCATAATTATATTGAACTTAATGTGCCTGATAATACCCGAATCCCCCAGGTACGTTATTCTCCTCATTCTGATGCATTAATGAATCATCCTTTACTCAGGTGGCTGCTCTCGGTGGGAAAAGTCGAGAGGGGATTTAAAGTTATCAGAAAAGTGGCCAAGATAAATGGTAAAACGGTGCCCGAAGATGTATTGGCCGCCTTTCGGGAGTGCAGCGAAATAGCCTACCACGAGGAACAATCAGCTAAAAAGTACACTCTACTGGATATTTTTAAGAGCTGCCGAATGGGTCGCATTGTGCTGATACTGATCCTGAATTGGATGATTATAGCGCTGGTGTACGATGCTCATGTGAGGGTCATCACCAATGTGGGAACGGATATATTCGTTTCCTTCTCGCTGGCAAACCTCACCGAGCTGCCGGGTGGACTGGTTCCGCTCGTCCTGCTGGATCGCACGGGGCGCAAGATCATGCTGTTTACGGTTTTACTGCTCTGCTCCCTTGGCAGCCTGCTGGCCGGTGTGCTGAGCAAGAAATGGGATATTGCTATAGCCGCCATATTCGGTCGACTATGCGTTACGATTGCCTACAATGTGGGGGAGCAGTGGGCGGCGGAGATACTTCCGACTGTGGTGCGGGGACAAGGACTTTCCCTCATACACATTATGGGAGCCGCTGCAGCAGTAATTTCGCCATTTGTGGTATACTCGGGTGACTACTCCGCATCGCTGCCAATGAAAATACTAGCCGGGCTGGCTGTGATTGGAGCTGTTTTGGTCCTGTTTTTGCCAGAAACTACAAACGTTGCGCTGCCGCAGACAATAGAAGAGGCGGAGACTCGCTGGGCGCAGAAGTTTTGGTTTCCCAAAAAGAAATAATTCTCATTCAAATAACATTTTGGCGCGTCAATAGTTTCGTTTTACAACACTGAAGTGTAGTCGAATGCAACCATAAACGCCGTTTATCGCACAGAAATATCGCATAAGAAATATATGTATCGATATATTGATAAATCAATTTTAACATCCCTATAAACAGCACGTGTATAAAAAGAATTGCTGTTTATTTCTGCTCAAAATGGATGTTGTCAAGGAAGTTTTAGCCAAACACCAAAAGGAATTGGAAAAATACAAGCCAATTACAGTAGACAAGCACCTGGAATGCCGCCTGGATGTGGGAACACTACTGATTACAGATCCCAATGACTTTGATGACCGAGAACTCAGGTAAGAGAATGTGCTTCCTAGGATTTCATAGATCACCGGTACAACATGTCATTTTCACTACTCACAGGGACAACAGAGAGGAGTATTTGACTGCCCTGACACGAGAGAATACCCAGCTGCTGCTCAATGCCATTTGGGAGCTGCCCACGGAGCGTGTGGATGAGAGCATTGTGGCCAAGCTGCCGGAACCAACAACAGTCCTGCCGCGTCTCCGTAAAGTACCTGGCCCACGCCCGCTCACAAAATGGGAGAAGTTTGCCAAGGAGAAGGGCATCACCAAGAAGAAGCGGGACAAGAAGACCTACGATGATACGCTGGATGTAAGTTATGACCACTTCAGTGACCTCATCGGGCTAACACGCTAATCTTTGGCAATGCAATTCACAGAAATGGGTGCCCACATACGGCTTCAAGCGTGCCGAAGCTGAGAAGAGCAAGGACTGGATACTGGAGGTGCCGCAGAATGCGGATCCCAACACAGACATGTTCCAGAAGAAGATCGATTTGCGCAACGAGAAGGTGGCCAAGAACGAAATCCAGCGAATGAAGAATATTGTGCGGGCCAGGAAGGTCGATATGCCGCGCAGTGGCTATCTCGGACCAGAAGCAGCCTCGTCCAGTCAGCTGCTCACGGCGGTTACCGTGGCCAAGTCTTCGACGGCCTCCGTCGGCAAGTTCCAGAACAAGCTGCCCAAGGAGAAGGAGGCACGTGGTCTGGGCGTAAAGGAACTGATACCGGGTGGCAAGCGCAAGGCATCGCATATCACCAGCAACGAACGGGAGGCCAATTTGGATCTCATCAAGAGTGTGCTGCACAAGAAGCCCAAGCTGAACGTGGACAAGGCGATATCGATGCAGAAGGAAGAAGATCGCTTGGCGTAAGTTGCTGCCACGATTATGACAAACTTTAACTAACTTTAGCCACTCCTTTCAACAGGCGCGAAGCTGAGGGCGGACCTGCCAGAAAGGCCAAGCCAAAGGGCAAAGGCAGTCGCAAGGCGGTGGGCAAGAAGCCCAAGGGCAACCACGGCCAGCGTGCACCTGGCAAAAAGACCCAGGCTGGGCGCAAGCGTCGCTAGAGGATAATCAAAGGGCTTAGGACCATTTTAATAACAGAAAACAACATACACTTATGAATAATAAATGATAGACATAAGACAAACCTGAATCTATGTTCGATAGAAGCGCAAATTGATGGGTGCCGTATGTCTCACCAAATATTCGTAGACAAAGTTGCGGAATACGCGATTGAAATTCCGTATAGATGGCCAGTGGAGATTGGCGGCGTTGTCTTGCGGTGTATGCCAGGTGTCCGGGAAAGGAGTGGATATCAAGTGCAGTATGGGCACATCTGAGGGAAAATCAGTATCACATTCAGAATTGTGGGATTATCTGACGGGGGGGTAAAAATCAAACTTACTCTCCTCCAAAAACGGACGATGGTCATCATCGACAAAGCCCCCGGAAATACGATTTAAAAACATATTATTGTTGCCCTCCAGCCGACCAGCAGCGCGCAGGGATTTCTCAATCTGCACCAGGCTGGAGTGCAGGCCATGGGTGTTCTCATAGAAGCTGGAGAACTTTGGATTACGTGCACCAATGAGGTCGAGCAGCACAAGCACCTCAATGCGATCGATATTACGCGGCGCCAGCTGTGCTTTGCCTGCAGCAGTAGGCGACGACTGTGATCTGGTGGGTGTGCGGGCCAATTTAGAAGCCAGATGCTTGGATCCATAGACTGAGTCAGCGTTAGTCCATTCCTGGAACGCCTCCTCACCATCAAAGAAGATGAGCTGCAGCGGAAAACCCATCCACCCATTAGTCAATGTGCTCCGCTCTCTCCCACTTTCAAAACTTACCATTAGCCCAACATCGTTGCGATTGCGAAACTCTTTTGTTAGATAACTGCTCAGCGTCTTGGCTGTGTTCAGCAACAGAGCGCAGGGCACGGCCGAGTCCGTGGCTCCCACAAATCCGGGATCATTGGCGAAGTACTTGCTGTCGTAGTGGCAGGCCAGGGCCAAGAAGTTCTGGGCCCGCGGATTGATGGTGCCGACGACATTGGCGAACGTCAGTTCTCCGAACACGGGCACACGCTGCTTGAACTCATCGACTTCCGTTTGGAAGCCAAGGCCATTGAGTGCCTGCACCAGGTAGTCGCGCACCTGTTGATGCCCACGGCTGCCCACGACGCGTGGCACCAAAATCGAGTTGAGCGTTCGGTTAAAGTGAGCCTCATCGTCGCTCCATGTCGATGCAATCTGAAATGGAAATCGGTAATTACCAGCCGAACTGTGACTTCCCACATGAGTCACAATGCTCCTCTCTTACATTCCCGCCCGCTTGGGCTTGCTGCGGCTGCTGTGCGTGAGCGGAATCCGTGGAGAGCAGACAGAGGCAGAACAAGCCCCAGATCAATGGCAGCGACTTGGCAACGAGCTCCATCTTCCACAACTGTAAGCTTTGCAGGTTGGCGTCACATTGACTTGGACCCCAACGCCAGAAAAGCAAACTTTACCGCTTTATGATTTTGCTGTGGCTTTTCGATTATGTTTTCGTCTCTCTTGGCTGGGGGAATCGTGAAAGAGAAGAGAAGAGAGAAGAGAGAAAGAGAAGAGGAGCTTTTAGCTAATACACGAACCCAGCGATCGCTCCGACCACGAATAACATTTAATGGATCTCCAGAGATTGTTTGCATTAATCAGATCAATTTATATACGGTTTATTGCTATATATCCACACACTTAACTATCGACACGGAACGTGGTGTCATCATCATGACTCTCCAGGTATTCGTACACAAATTGACGTATTATTGAGTTCATATTGAGAACAGTTGGCCAGTGCAAGTGAGCCGCATTGTCCGCGGCAGTATGCCACACTTCCGGGTATCTATAGGGAGCCAGATGCATCACCGGAACACCTGGGCCACACAGGATAGAATTCTATATTCGATAATCAACTCAAATGAAATAAATCAAGAGTTACCTTCATCGAGAAATGGATAATGATCGTCGGGCAGATCAGTGTCGTGGTCCTTTAACTTTTGGAACAGCAAATGGCACTGGGCCAGCTGTCCCGATTCCCGCAAGTTCAGCTCAATCTCTGTCATGCGATTGTGCAGGCCATAAGTGCTGTCGTAGTGACTCATGTATGCCTGCGCCGGAGCGCCGATGAAGTTCAAGGCAATGGCAACCTCCTAGGGGGAAGATCTTCTAGATTATTTCCTCTCGATTCCGATTCAAGTCACTTACAATGCTCTCCAAGGGTAGGGTCTCCATTTCGACAAACCGCTTGGAGCCGCGCAGGACATTGGAGTCCTTTGGATCGCTCGGCATTGGCTCATGACCATCAAAAAAGACCAGCTAGAAGGAATATTAATTACCAAATGGGATATGGGATGTCATGGAACCAATGAACATACCGCCAAACCAATATCCATTCGCTTGCGCAGCTCCTCCCTCAAATACGGGCCCAAAGTCTTGGCCATGTTAAGGAGAATGGCACACGGTACCGCCCCATCGGTGGCACCCACAAAGCCCTCTGCATTGGTCAAGTATTCGGTATCGTAGTGACAGCAGAGCAGCAGGAAATTCGGTGCCTCCGGGTTGATGGTGCCCATCACGTTGGTAAAGGCCACGCCATCTTCAAACTCATCCCGTTCCGTGTGGAATCCCAGTTCCCACAGCTCCTGCAGGAGAAAATCGCGCACCTGCGAGTGCCCCAAGCTGCCGGTCCACCGCGGCTTGAGAATCATTGCCAGCGTGGCATTCAAGTGATTCTCATCGTTGGTGAACCGAGCCGATGGCTTCACCACCACCCAGTGCATCAGCAGAAAGTTGATGAGCAAATAGAACAGGCACACACCCGCCACAATCCAAGTAAACATCGAAACGTGAATCTGCTGCCTGTCGGCCATGAGCCACAAACTGAACTGTCACTGCCCAGCTAGTGTCTGGCTGGCTGCGAAAATGTTACCGCACATTAACGTGGAACCGATGCATTGGTCAGGGCAGACATAACAGCGTTTCCTTTAACAAAATCGAATGCGAATCGGGTTTCTTTTTTAATTGAACTTCACAAAGGTTTCCCAATCCAAAACAAACGATTCTTTGAACAAAAAACTAACTATAAACAGCCACAGATAACGCCGAAGCACCCAAAGTACTCTGCATGTTTTATTTATCAATTTTTACCATGCTCAAAGGTGTGCGTGTGAATCATTTTCTCTGTGGCTAGCGTGTCTTGGCTGGAAATCTGTGTCTTTCGCGTGCCTATCCGCGTCTTCGCCACTCGATGCATTCTGGTCGAACGGAACTCATCGCGCGATATCGTCCGCAGGCTGGAGCCCTGATGCCACAAACGTTGGGGTCTCTTCACCCGCTTTGCGCCCGGACCACAGCAGGGCCCGTGCCAGATACGCTGCTCCCGTCCAAACTCGGCGCCGTCGCTGAGTGTCTGGGGCAGATCATGGTAGAGGGTCTCGGGCAAAAAGAGTGCGAGAATTCCACCCAGAAGGCCGAGGATGCCCAGAATGATGAGCATGAGGGAGGTGGAGACGCTGGAAAGGAAGACGACCGGTGGTGACATCATCATAGCCACAAAGCCCATCGTATGAATGAAGGACACGCCCTGGGCACGCACCACAGTCGGTAGCACCTCGGCCGCCCACTGGAGTCCGATGTTGTAGCAGATGTTCGCGAAGAAGCGTCCAGCCAAAGCGGCACCAAGCATGTGCCTGGAGTTCTTCATGCTGGCAGCCACGAGGCTGAAGATTCCACTCAAGCTGGTGAAGACAAAGGCGCACCAGCGACGTCCGAAGCGATCCAGAGTGAGGATCACGAGAATGTTGCCCGGCAGCTCGGTGGCGCACGCAATGCTGAAGAAGACAAAGACATTATGCAAGTCCAGGACACTGGCAGCCCGCACATGTCCGTCGTAGAGCAGCGAGATGACCATCCAAATGATGATCATGAGCACCATATAGCGGGCCATGCGCGGCTTCTTGAAGATCGAGCAAACGGTGAAATTTCGCCCCTGCAGCTCCTCCTTGTAGAATTGCTGGCAACTGAACTTGAAGTGATCGAAGACGCCGGGAGGCACCGTCTTGTTATTCCGCCGTGCCACCCGCTTTAACAGCTCCATGGCATTGTCGATCTGACCGACCGAGACCAGCCACCGCGCCGATTCCGGCAGCAGCCAGAAGGATAGCAGCGACAAGCTAATGGGTGCGGCACACAAGGCAGAAAACGTGCGCCAGTGGTAGGTGCCCAGGGCCAGCCAGGGCATCAGCATGGTGAAGGGTGCGTAGAAGATGGCCAAGGACATGTTGGCCACAAAGGTGCGATACTTGGGACCCACGTACTCGAGAACTGAGGACACAGAGAGGCAAAGAGAGGCACAGAGTGGTTAGAATGCAGCTAAGGAATACCTTGAACTCTGCTGCTTACCCAAAATGTAGATCATGGTGAAGCAAGTATCGTAGGAGGCACCCACGAGTAGGCGCGTGGCAGCAAAGGCCGGAAAGTTGTTGGCCATCGCGCTGAAGATACTGCCAACTAGGGCGAGGAAACAGCTGCTGACCAACGCCGAGAGGCGGCCACATAGATCGGCAAAGCGTCCGTAGCCCAGACCGCCCAGAATTGAGCCCACAAAGAAGATTATCTGCGCCAAGGTGGCATAGTAGTCGCTGTCGCAGACCCACCCGAACTCCATGGTGGCCGAATGGAACGGCATTTCCACATGATCGAAGACGTAGCCATTTTTGCAGGGTATCGTTGGCCATGTCGAGTTCAGATAAATGGTACGATTGAGGGCAAAGTGAATGGCCGTGTAGTTGGCATCGTACATGAAGCAGTGACTGTAGGAGCCATCCTCCTCCCGGGGTATGGAGAGCTGCTTGCGCTCTGCCTCGTCAGCTATCAACGCCAGCTCGGGCACAAAGCAGTAAAAGTTATGCGGTGTCAGCGTCATGAATATCTGACCCAAATACACGAAGGCGGCTATGAAGGAGAAGGGTATCATGAACAGGAACAGAAGCTTCTGGAACAAGCCAAACTCCCCAATCATTGGCAGCAGATCGTCAAAGTCAAGGAATTGTCCCAGATCCACAAACGCCGAGCTCTGTCGCGATATATTGCCCGACCTTGAACCGGTTGAGGGAGAATTCTGATTCGAATCGAGCCTGTCGTCATATTTCACACGAAGCTCCTCCAGTGATGGACCAGCCTGTTGGCCTTTATTCTTAGTTTTCGATCTATTTGAATGCGATTTGTATGGGACTGTTATGGGACTTATTTCCAAAGATTGTATCGATTTACCGTCTTTTATTATTGGATACCTCGCTCTTATCTCTTTTGTTGCCATCGTTGTCGTCTTTATTCGGATCGTCCTTGTCCTTGTCCTTACTATTATTATTTTCCATATTTGGGTGAGAGAATTTATCTAGAATGACAGCTAGAGCTGACTCTTTGATTGTAAACGAGAAAAATCGTAGCCTTCAGCCTCACTTTGAGCCACTCTCGCAACGTATTTGCCTCTTAATAGTTTAAGGCTTTCTTACCCTCCTGAATACCCTTTATTCGGGATGACTTGGAACCTTTACAGGCCACTGCATCGACTTTCTTTCCTTATCATTTCCGCAAGTGGAGCCCACAAGCCCGGCGACTCACCGACGCCAACACCAGACCTGCGGCTGACTCATCGTACCTCCTGCAGAGCAAGCACTCTTGACGTTCATTAAACGCTTTCCCAAATCCATTCAAGAGCTAATTCTTGGCCGTAATTTGTGGCCGTGGCAATGCCAGCAGAGGCAACTTAGGTAGGCCACAGCCACAGGATGCAGGACGACTGTAACCGCCTGTTGCTGTCGGCTTGGAATGGCGGCGCATGCGTCTGCCCCAGACTCGCGACTCACTCCTCCTCCTTTGTTTTCGAACTTTCATTCATAAAAGTGATGGAATTTTTCGAAATCGGAGCCACATTTCTTTTCCCCCAGAAGGAGGAGCGTCTCAGTCCTGACGCGACTTTCAATGGCAACGGTTCGCTGCGGAACGATTCGTCCTGAGGTCCAACACTTCTGGCCACATAAATATGTCCGGTCGTGCCACATAAATCAGTGTCATAAATCTGTCTGTCTTGTATATGGAACACTAGAAGGAATTATGTGTCAGTGTCCCACGATAAGCGAGGCGGCGGCTATGCCAGGCCACAAAATATCTTAGATTTATTTATTTGCGTAGCCGAGGGGGTGAATTGAACAGCGAAAGTGAAAAGACAAATCAAGAAATTCCCCCTAAAACAAATAAAGAAACCAAAAAGAGAAACAACTCCAAGCAACCAAGTAAAATAATCCGTTTAGCGGGAAAAGGATACAGAGTGCAGACCCCTCAAGCGCGAAAGTGTGGAAAGTCGCAGTAAAAGTGGCGGCTGCCGTACTCCCTCTGGTCCTCTTGTAATGGTGTTATCACGGAGAAAGTGAAGCGAGAGACAAACGCCACTCAACGATGGCCATCTTGGAGTCTTGTTGCTTCTGGAAGAATGTGCGGATGGGCAGCTTCGCCTGTGCCATCTATACATTGGTAGGTGCAGACATATTTCTAAATAATTTCTAATTCTCAGTTGAGCAATTACTTATTAATTAATTAATTATTAATTATCCAAATGAAAACATACAATTAAACGAAAATTTAAATCTAAGCTCATGAAATATATCATAATTCCCAAGAAGAAAACCTTTAGCTATTCTTGCAGTGCAAACTGCTTAACAAAGCTTACAAAAATTCTTGGAGGGAACTTACCTACTTACCTCTATCCCATACCTTAATATAATACATATAATTCTCAGAATAAACGTGTACGATTATAGGCAGAAAATGGTTTGTGAAGCCATTCCAGAAGTAGTCAATGAATTGCATTAGCTTTAATCCAGGAAACCTTCTTATATTTTCTTGCCTCTTAATCGAAAGCGGTCAAAACCTGCTTAATTACGTGGGTTATACGAATTCCTTGAGCAAATATATATTGTCATAGAGCCCACTCAAGTTTCAGGCAACGCGAGCCATTACGGTGGCACTCAATTGTCACTTGAGGCATGGCGGGTTGATTCCTTGCACCCAAGTTTATGCCCTCATTATATGTACATTATACAATTCAGATTTACTTTGGCTTCTCGACGTTGATGTTCCTGTTCTATGTGGGCGAGGAGCAGGAGTTTCTGTTGGGCCAACGCTCAGAGCCCGCGGGCGAGAGCATCCTGGAGAAGGGCGATGTGACTGTAGGTAAGGTGACTCCCTGAACCATCCACCCCATCGAGTAGCAGTTCAATTACGTGTGATTTATGCTCATTTTTTTTGTTTGCAGTGACTGTGATATTCAACGTTTTGTTTCTATTTTGCTCCGTGCTGATGGTGATATCCTCGGGCCTGGTGCTGGTGGGTCTCCGTAGGGTGAGTGGATACCTGAGGTTATGTACCGCCGCTCGAGGCAATACCTTTGCTTTTGGGTCGATTGCAGAACAAGCGTCAATTGCTGATACCCTGGATCTGCTTCATGCTGGCCGACCTGCTCATCGAGTGCTCCCACCTGATACACCTGACCCTCTCCCGCCGCGTCATATTCGATCCGATTGTGGGCTTCATCTTCACCATAGACTTCTTCATTCTGTGCCTCAATGTAAGTCGAATTTAGCTCTGGTTAATATAGCACTCTGTGGCTATTTCCCCTGTACCCGAACCCCTTGCAGCTCTACTGTCTGCTGTGTGTCATTTCCCAGTACCAGGCGTATCGGACCCAACGAGCGGAGCAGCAGCAGAACCCCACCACATCGGTAAGTATTTTGTGAATGTGTTGCACGGGCCCCTAAAGTATGCTTACCATCCATCCATCCAATCCCAAAATTTCATCAAACACAAGCCTATTGTGGTATTCACAGCAGCCGAGAAACTAAGCAAATCCCAGCAGCAGCAGCAACAGCAACAGCTGCAGCATCAGGCCCAGCTCCTGGGCGAGGGAACCGGCAATGGTAAACGGCAGTCGCGCCGTCTGCTGGGTGCCGCCAGTCCCCTGATCACCTCCCAGCGGTTGACCAATTTCTCCACCATTACCGAGGAGGAGGAGCAGCAGTCCCGAGCAGGTAACCGACAGCGATTTATGGTCTAGATACGGATATTTTCAATTATCTGAACATGTAACAATGAACCTTCATCCTCCATCCACAGACCACAGCAATGGTAACCTTTCTGAGTATCCCGGCTCCAGTGTGGCGCAACCGGAGCTGTACATGGACTCGGGGAATGGAGAGCTCCAGGTGGAAATGCCAATAATTACTTTGGATCCTGTGGCAGTGGCAGCAATTCAATACTGAGCTTAGGTAATGCAAGTAACCCAGAACCCACCCAGGATACAATTTAGCCAGCAATTGCAGGAGGAATTTTATTCCGAGCTGAGATATTTTTACAAATGATTGAGAGGAGACGTGAGGCGATGCGATGAGAGAATAAAAAGGACAATTTCCAAGAAAAATAGTACTGTGCATTACATTCGTATTTATTACTCTTTGTGCTTCTGACGCATGGATTTCATTTGCCGCATCATGCAGAGGCGGCTCCTCTTGGGTCACGTTCTTGGAAAGAGCATTCAAAGAGAGCTGCTGCCCAAAGGCAATCAAAGGGAGCAGAGATTCAGGAAGAGAAAGGGGCGAAGACAACCCTTGGTAATTATTTTTTTGCATGTGGCACCATGGTGCGAAATGGGGATGTGAGCTGTGTTTCAGTCAGCTCTCCACTGCGACCAAAGAAAACTATTTACGCATTCAAGTAAACAAACCCGGGAGTCCGAGAAATTACAATAATTATTCAAATGTCGGAGCTTCACCCCTTCAGACAGCCGGAGGCCAAAGGGATGCTAAAAAAACAGACCACAAACTCAAAAATTATACAGACTTTAAATACATAATTAACTGCCGGTTAATGCTGACTGGAGCGGCCACACAGACCCCTACAGGATTGACTACTGCTCGAAGTGGTTCTTAGTTGCTGGCTGATTAAACACGAATTATATTTTGAAAGCGTTAATTAAAAACCCTTCTTCGGGCTAATAAATGTTAGTAAGAAAGGAACCTAAATGAACTGTTTGACCCTAACTTCATTGGCACACAAACAGCAGCGTCATTAAAAACCAATTAATCACTCGACCAAAGTGGCACTCTTAATTAAACCCTCAGGTGGTGTAGTGTGTGGCGCAGGACAGGGCCGACTAACAAGGGATAGTTGATCCTTGAAAGCGGATGCTTGGTTCTAGGATTGAGTGGGGCTCATGGCCTCCACACACACACACACACACACACACTTAGAACTGTCATTGACAGCATCAGCAGAGGCAGCAACATCGAACAGCAGGTACTACAAAGTGTGGACCAGTTCCACGCAAACAGTTGCCTAGCTCCTGTCGGCTGGAAAATGGCACTGTTGTGGCAGATGCTGCTGCTGTCCCCCAGGCCAGGATGCTCTGATGCCATGATGGTAGGATGCGACTGAAAATAGCAGGGTCAAAGGTGGACTACATGAACAAAGTGAAATCGTTGTCGGAGACAGAGACAGAGCCAGAGCTGTTATTACTTTTGTGAAAAGTCGCATTTTGTGCACAAATATTGACACAATCCGCAGGCACATCATTCCCCCTGGCAGCAGCCAGCTACAGAATGAGCTACAAAGGCAGATATATATCTGGCTTAATGGATTCCTAAGTGGCGGAATGCACTGCGAAGTCAGCTAGACAAATATCAAATTTCCCCGGCAGCCAGCAAATTCCTGGACAAACACTGATGATTAACAGCATGGAGTGGGATGCTGCATAGAGCTGTCGAATACTGTTTTTTTTACCAATACATGTCTGGCCAATAACTGTGCACTCTGCTGCTGGAGCAGCCATACCATATATTTTCCAAATTGCCAGATTGCTTGTGGCCTTTGATGGCGAACGAAAATATTTCTGACGCAGCATGAGGCGCATGAGAACAATCGCTGGGGCCATTCAATTAGAACGAACCACGGGCCATGGCATGTTTTACCAGATTAAAGAAAATCTGTTAATTAAGTCGAACGATGTACGCGGATCTGTGTGGTAGTTATGCAGGAATGCACTCTATGTCCAATAACATTTTAATACGATGAACTATGCACTTCCAAGTAGAAGTTGAGTGTTTTTTGCGACCTCTTGCGAATTTCCTTCTCGACTGTTGCATTCGTGGAAAATGCCAGCGCTGCATCCTGCCTCAGCGGTTCTAATGGGGGAGGGAAATAATGGGGTACTGTACGTACTTTCAGTTTTATCAGCAGTCAACAGTTGGCTGCCAGTCACCAGCCACTTGGCTCTTTAAAGTTGTTGTTCTCTGGCAATTAAGAGGAGCCACAATACCAGAACCCACAGGACTGCCACACGACCACACACACACACGCACAGTTGGCAATAAGCAGCTCACTTATCCACACATACATACATATATAGCAAAAAGGAGCGCGTTCTCTTTATCTAATTGCTAAGATGGCTGCTACTACTCCTCGTACTGCACTACACTTGGTTCCTGGTGCCTCCTGTCTGTTGGCAGGATAATGAGTTTTCCATTAGCGCCTGAGTGCGTCAATGGCAATATTTGCCAAGCGTCTTGACTGCTTAAGTGAAAATTCAATTAAAGCATAAGTGAAATGGAATTCCTTAGTCACCAAACCCCGGCGAACGTGATTGGCGTGCAGTCAAAGTTGTCCCCTGGTTTGCCCTGGCTAAATACATCTTTGATGAGACCCGAACGAGGCAGAGTTTGGCAACTCCCTACCACAGCAGGAGGAGCAACAAAAGCAACAACAGCAACAAAGGCTATCCAACTTTTTCTTTATAACCATTCATTCGGCAGAACTTATTTCCTTAAGGAAATGGGAAACTTATGGTAAAACCACATGTGATGCGAGATGGGCCAAGTTGCTTTGTTAGTTTCCACAGCCTTGAATTAAATGTTTAAATTTCGTTTTCCAGCACCACACGCACATACAAAGCCACGCACAAGTATTGACAACTTTAAGACAAGTTAAGGCATAAAAGCTGACAGGACTTTCCTCGCCTGACTGCCTCACTGCCTGACGGCCTCTGCCTGTCTGCCACAGATCCCTGCACTTCTGCCTGATTTATGACGACCCCTCCGAGGGGGGTATGTAATATATGCGTATGTTTATTTAAAAAGGCAAAAAGTAAACCGAAATTGTGGACAAACTTGATGTTTGACGAGAGGCAAAAGGCACTTTGTCACTCGCTTTATTGCGTATACGCCGTGGCGTATGCCTTGTGGCCTTTTTGCCCGATATTTCATTAGAGTACAAATTTTATGGAGATTTATGCGAGCGTGTCGTGTGCGCACGTAGATATACTTTCAATTAGAAAATTAGCATATCAAATGCAGCTAATTGACACACGAAGAGCAGAGCAGAGCAAAGCAGGAGACCATAAAAGATGTAGCCATTCTCAATGAATATTTAAAGCTTCAAGTAATCCGTTGGGCACATTATTGTAGCTTACTACTGACTTTCATTGCATCATAGAGACAATTGAATTGACACAAATTGAGAAATACCAGCATTAAATAGTCATGCTAGGGGACTTAGAGATGTATTATTTAATAACAAAATTCAACAGAGCGTAAACTATAAGCAGCTTCTGGGGACAACTACCAACATAAAGCCAATTTAATGTTGCCTTGCTGCTTTAAAAGGACTCGGAGGAGGCCTAGATGGCAGCACAAATAATTAGGACATAAGTCGGGGAGGCATTCACATTAACGTCTGGCAGTTTGTCAGCAATAAATCCTGCAAGTAAATTATGCGGAACAAGGCCCTGACATCAATCTTACGACCATCCAGATCATACTGGGAGGCAGCTTTGTTGTCACCTCCACCACACACTCTCTTTCAGCCGAAATGTACAGAAATTATACACATGTTTCACATGTGAAGGAGGCCTACATATATACAGTCTGTTGGATGCGTCCTGGAACTCGTAAGCCAATTTTAATTGAGCCTCGTTTTTTCTCACGCTGCTTCAAAGAAAAGGAAAGCCGCGTGTACTCGAAAACAAGGGACAAAACCTCTGACCTTTTTCCGGCTGCAGGAAAAGGGTTGCCGACTGTGCCGCCACAAGGCACAGTCCGCATCGCTGTTGAGGAGCTGTAAACAAGTTCTGTTTTTCCATATAGAAAAAACCTCCTGAAGTGCCAATATTTTTCATATACTTATTTTATGTACTACCTTCCAGAGAGACAAGTTCCATTTTCCTGCACTGTTTTTTTGGCGTAAGTAAAAAAAAATCTTTACCTTTTGTTTTACTCTTGAAGAAGAACCCAAATTGATTTTATTTGCTTTCGCTTTAACCTGCTGTCGGATCCTTGCCAGCCGAGTTATTTTCTTTTCTTCTTTATCGGATTTTTTTTTTATTTGAAACTCGTCTGCGATGGAAATGGAAATATGCAAAGGAAAAAATGAATTGTGGCATTGTTTGCAGATGGACTGTCTATATACTCTGTAAGACATACATACAAACATATGCACATACATACACATGTAAATACTTTAATAAGTATGAACAATATGGGAAAGAGGAGAGTGCACAATAATTAGCACTTTAAGGATTATTTATTCTTTGATATTATGACAATCGAAACCAATTAAAATATATTCGTTTTCCATGGATTAATATGGAAATCATATTCATTTTAAATCTTTTATTCTTCATTTGATGGTAAATCTCCCAATACGCCCCCTCTTTCAAAGGGTACGCGACAGACCTCGGCAGAATTGCAATTGTTGCCAGGACAACGATTCGCGGGTAAATAAATGCACAAAGAGCAGTCCAGGGTGCAAAGCGATGGATACTTCAGCAATGATTCCGAGAAAAACTGGATTCGAGAGTAGGAAATTGAGCAGTCAAATGGTGGACCATAAAGTTTAATTCAATTAGCGAGGCATTTAAATACTTTCATTTAATCTGAGCAAACCAACTTAATTAGCGGAAAGTAAAGGATAACAATGCCAGGGATCCTCTTCCACCAAACTTTCCAATAGTTGTTCTCAGCAATATGAAATTATGGCAAAATCCAAACTAATGTAGTTGGAAAATTTGCGCAAAACTAAAGTTTTCCCCAACACATTAACGGTTTGATGGAAGCGGTGTTTACGCAACTGGCAAATGGTAAATAGAAGCGCTTTCCCCCCATTTCCATGCGAATTAATTGCGCGAATAGCAGCGTGAACTATCCGATAACACAGTCCGTCCAGTCCGTCCGGCACATGGGTTCGGCTCTCTGTGTTGATCTTTCGTTGGAAAAGCCCCAATGTAATTTTAGTTCCATGGGTTTATTTTCTTTTATTTGCATTGGCATTTCACTGTCAAAACTCTGGCATGACAGGTCGCGGGAGTGTCACTTGACATTCATCAAGGGTGGGGTGGGAAAAGGGAGCAACGCGTTCCCCCTTTGAATGTCTCATGGGAATGTGAATCTGTCCCTTGGGTTAGGTACGAGAAAGAGCATCATGTGGTAAATGGAAAGTTATAATAAACGATAAATCGACCAAATGAACTTGAGACTAAGCTGGGTTGACAATTGACGCACTTAAAAATAAGTAGAAGAAAAAGGCTTACAGATGAAGATGCTTCCCGTACATTTTATGGAATACAATTTCGCATTACTCTGAGAAGATATTTATAGGCGATTCAGGACTTGGGAAGTGCACTTTACTGAATATTTGAATGGGTTTTACGCGTCCGTTGGGTGACATTTGCGGATGCCATTCACTGGCGACCGCCTCCATTAGTTTCAATCAAATTTCATAAGCAAACAAGAAAGACCAATAAACTGATATACGAGTATTTATATGTATGAAACCAACAGTATGTGTGTGGATATATAGTATATTGGCATTAGCATGCAAGATAAATAATAAACATATTATAAATAGCTTTTTCCCTTGTGCCAGCGCTCCCGACCATCAATCAATGGCCAAACCACGTAAGAACCTGCTTCTCCTGCTCCTTTGGCTTTATTTTACTGAGCACATAGTACCACACGGATCAGCCCGAATGGCATCGCATTGTCGAAATAAGATTTATGCCACCCCTATTTATTTGGGTTATCCATATATTTGCACACCACATTAAAGCTGATACTTTAAAGACGGGAAAACTTTCGCACAGCTTCTGGGAATTTTCGTTTTGTTCCTGTCAGGCAGCCTGTCAGAATGGGTTTCATGGTTAATTAAAACTCGTTCGGCACTCGATTAGCATATTGAATGTCAATCCAGGAAGCCCCTACAGCCTCCAGTCAGGACATCCATTGTCAGAGGCTTTAAATTAATTAATTAACTTTCGATGTAAACATTTATTCAGTCAATGTCGTCGTGGCCAATGGGCCAATGAGTATGAGTGATGCTATGGTTCTGTGGTGCTGCGTTGCGGGCTATGTAGTTTGAGTATTTATGAGCTCAATTTTATATTAATGATATGAACGGATGAGATATCCTCCACCTGGCCATCTGATTATAAATATGGCTCCGTAGCTGGTATTTTATTGAGGCTCACTCTCAGCAATTTATGTGAATGTCTCAGCAGGCAAACACAAGTAAAGCAATCAAAGGCAAGCCATTATTACCGAAAGATAAGGCATCCGCAGCATCAGCCTTTGATTAGCTCCAAATAACGAGTAATTTTATGTGTAAATGCTGTCTAGGGTGAGTAATCACAGGCTTGCATTCAGTCCTTAAACATGGACAGCTTGTCTGTGCAGTGCACACCCACGCGTACATCAATGCCAATGCCATTCCAATCTACTGCGGAATGTATGTCCATTCATCCGCAGATGCTTCTGCAAATAAACATGGGATTTTAAACAAAATACACACGCCGAACATGTCGTATACATAATGCGTTTTGCTCAGTTTCCTTTTCGATGGCGTTCAGTGGCAAAAAGCAAAGCAAAGCAAATCAATTGCAATCAGCACCAGAAACCGAAGCAGCAGCAACTCCAACAATGGATGAGCATGCAGCAGCAGCAGAAAAAAAGCTGGAAAAAAGCAAGAATGAGGATGCAAAAGTGTCAGCACGAAATTGCGTATACACAATGTGGGACAGCAGTTAGACATTTTTGTGGGTGTGAAAAGCCTCCGCCTGAAGACATGTCAAATCAAACAAAACCTCCTTTGACAGCGGCAACGAACGGCGGAACGGAACCTAAGAAAAAAATTGTAGAGGATAGAAGGCGGTGTCAGAGCCACGCTGACATGAGGGTGTATATGCTGTTCGTTCACGTACGTAAAAGTAAAAGGCTTTAAGCACATACAAAAACATGAACAACTTATTGTGTTATTTTTCAGGAACATCGGAGCACGCGAGCATTCTTTCATTTACCATGAAACCAGGCAGATGCCAAAGCTCTTATCGTATGGGTCCATCTAGAGGTCTTTAGGAATTAAATGCCGCTAAATAATGGCACATCCCTCAGGCTAATAAAAACACTCTCGCTCTATCTCTCTCTCTCTCTCGAAAAAGGGTTTACTTATCTCTCGACAGAGCTTGGGGGAAAAACAAGCACTCGTCCATGAGAGATTGGCATCAAGGCATTTTGGTATCGTACGACATTTTCCATCTAGAGACTGGCTAAAAGGAAAATTCCCCATCCGCATTTCTAATGCCTCACGCATTGCCGCTTTTGGAATTGCCAGGCAACAGAATTAAACACACATTTTTGGATAACAGAATTATATGAAAAATGTTTCATATAGTAAAGTTGAATCCGCGATAAAATCCGCTTTGAAAATGAAACGTACAGCAGGAAAGGAAGCGATGCGGAAAAAGGAAATGAAATGTTTATCTTATAGTAAACCTTTTTTGCCTTTGGAAATTGATAAGCAAAAAAATGTGTATTTAACGTATTTATCTGTGTGCTCAAAGGATTCTGGTGAAATTATGCTTGATCTGGTAATCAATAAGATTGCTTAGCAAAGCGGAAGTTTTATTCGACGCGTCGCCTGTCTAACCATGTTCAAGCATGAGCTGACATTTGCCAGGAATTTCAGACACATGTCAACTGTCGTGCATTTGAATAACCCATCCAAAATATGTTTTTTTTACTTAAATCTACTAAGGGCAATGACAATCGAACAACTCTAACAAAAATATACAGCATTAAAATTGACAACACAATCCCCAGAACACTTAAAGTCTCTGCACAAACTTTTCTACTGGTGCCACTGGAGGGAAGCACGAAAAAGTTGTTTGGCAACAAATTATATAACTAACTTTTCAATTTGTATTCCGAATTTTACCCATTTTATTAAATTGTGTTCGCATTAAATGGAAAAATCATTTATTACAGCCGTTTGGCCATGACAAACCGCAAAAAAGTGGCGGTGGACAGTTGGAGAGTCGGTTCTGCGGTTAGCTCGAACGCCATTCAGTCCAGTCTATGGCATACTACAGTGTGAACGGGCTTAAGGATTGTTAATTGGATGCAATTTAATGCAAAACAGATATGTACTATAGAGAGAAAGTGGGTCTAGTACCTATTTATAACGTAATCAGCAGGGAGGCAAATGCCCTGCCAATTTCTATTAAATATTTATTACGAACTGAAGCGCAAACGCATCAATCAAATCAAGCTATTTCATATTTCACAGCTGCGAAAGGAATTCCATTCCCCGTTTTTATTCCCCTTGGGTCCCTGTCAATTTACTTTAAAGAGAACAAACTGTGTGAAATATAGGCACTCGGCATTGGTTGTCATTCGTTTCAAATATTTGGGACCTATCCCATTAAAAACAGCATAGTAACATCATTAGATACATTGGCACGTGGGCAATATTCAGAATCGAATCACATATGTAGGCTAGCTGGCACTTGCGTGCATGAACTTGCCATGACAACCAGAACAATCAAGTGAAATTGCGATGGAAATGTATTTTTGGGACACACGCAACAAGGCGTACGCAAACTAAATCTGAATTTTAACCAAACATTGTCTTTGCGAATGTGTCACGCAAATTGAGAGCCTTGTCCAGACAAGGCCCCACCCTCGTCCACACATCTAACATATGCAATGACTAGGAGATACTTGTATTCAGTTTCAGTGGCTGCGTAGGCACCAGCACCCCCAATCAATAGCCATTGAGCTAGAAATTCAGGTCTTGTCCGGAAAATGCAACTGTGGGGGGTCTTTATTAGCTCTAACCGAATATTTGTGCACATAGAGATGTTATTGTAATTGGGATTTGGGGCCTAGGAGCATAGGTCCTCTATGGATTCGCCTTGCAGCAGCAGACGTTGTTCCTGCTTGTTCTTTTTGGTGCCGCTTTTGCCGCCTGTGGCTTTGCCACGCCTCCGGTTGAGCACACCATCCGTTTCGTCCATCATTCGTAGGATTGTGATCTAAAAATAAGAGAATACATTTATGTTTGTCTATGAATCCCACCCCACCCTTTCTTTACCTGATCTGAACAATCCAGTGGGGCAACAGATATATCCCGCACGGCCCTGAACTTGCCCACATTGTTGAGATGCTCGTTCTCCAGCCGAAAGTAGTTCCAAATGAAGCGACGGAAAACCTCTAGGGGACTGAGTATGGTCATCATTACATCACCCTCGATGTAGCCAGCCTCGATGAGGCTCATGGACAGGGTCCAGCTGAAGCGCAATATTAAATCCTCAATTATGCCAAAGTAGTAGAACCACTGTGGGGGGGGAGGGGGCGGGGGCGGATAATGAATGTATTGAATGATTTTCTTACGTGCCATTTGGCCAAATATTTATCGTAACCATTATTTGTGCCCCATCCACAAGGGGATACTGGGGGAGACTCACCGTCGATGAATAAACGATTTCCTCACGCAAGAATCGATTGTCGCCCGCCTTGGAATCGAAGAGGCCCCAGTCCATTTTGATGTCCCATGTGTAGGCGTAGCAGGAGGTGAAAATTGCCGCCGTAATCCAGCAATAGAACCATGGATTCTCCTTCGACAGTGGATAGGTATCTGCAAATCAGTGAGACACAAATAAGACAGAGAAATACTACGTGCTCGAAGGCCAAATTTAATCTACATGAATTTGAGGTTGACCATGAAGATGGCTCTAATTGGCACCGGACCGTAGACAACACACATAAAGTGTGTGCCTGTGCCTGTGCCTGTAGTCCTAATGAACTCATGACAATTCGTATAATAAATCCACTTACCCGTTGTCGTATGATATTTGTGGGCAAAAATTACCACAAAGAATGATGTGGCATACTTTGCTGCGTTTACCAGATGCGGAAACGACTCTTTCGTGTCGCGATATCGACGTATGCACTGAGCGAAGCGGAAATAAGCTGGCAGAATGGCCACAATGGGCTGCAGCAGGGAGACATATTCCACGCAGTGGCTGCCAGCTAAGGGGAGGAATCAGAGTTAATTGCTACCAATGACTGACTGCCTCGTGCCAGCTCCACTCACCCTTTCCCGCCTTTTGCCATGTGGGACTGCGACCAAAGAAGCATATCAAAAAGGGTATATCCAGAAAGGCTGGAACCATACTGTTCAGCTGATCGGCCAGCCAAAAGTCAGCGAAATTCACAAAGCAAAAGGGGGCCATGATCACGCGTGCGAGTACGCGCAGCGCCCAGTACCGAGCTTCGTGATGGAACGTCCTCGTGGGATTCAGCAGGAAGGCAACCATCAGAGTGTAGAGTATCAGGGGTGCCGCGTACTGTGGAATGCCCAACGGATCACAGAAAATATAGCTGAGCACACAACAGGCCCAGATGACACCGAACACAGAGGCCACCTCCATGATGTTCTGCTCGGACAGGTGATTGCGCGGATCCAGCTCAAAGATCAGCACATGATTCACCCCTGAAGACCGCCATCCATAGACATTTACGCCCCAGAGGAAGAGGCACTCGATGATGAGGAATGGAGCTCGAAACATCCGAAGACCAACGCGCCAGTTCTCGCCAAAGCCGTAGAACATGGCTGCAATCACAACCGTTATGAAGAGCACCACGAAGGCGCCGGAGAAGAGGCCCACCTTGAAGGTGGTCCACGGGCTCTGCTGTTCTCCCAGCGGCGGAACTCTCAATCGCTTCATGGCCCGCTGTCGGTCCCCGCCTTCGATGTCCTGTGTGACGGCCTGCTCCGTCTCCTGGATGAGCCGATCGATGTCTTTATTCGTATAGAAATGCGCCGCCTCCACATGATCGGTGCGCCACCGTGCCCCATAATCCACGCTAAGCAATTTGTCGTGCTTCTTGAGGATTTTGCGGAAACCCGTAAAATTGAGATTCTGATAGTTCTGGAGCAGTATGAGGCCCAGATAGAACTCGCTAAATGCCAACTTGAGATCCTGTAACTTGCGTGCGGGCACATTCTTCTTGCCCAGCGGTGTGCGTCGCTTCCAGGCCGGCAGCTTCTTTGGATGGCCCATTTCCAGGGCCTCTGTCAGTTCGCTGCGCAGATTGCCATATTTGCGTGTGGCCTCGGCCATCTTCTCCGAGTAGAATGTGTTGATCTTGGCCAGCTCCCGGTCGCAGTAGTGGAAGAACTCCTCATCGAATTTGGCAAAGTACCGCGTGACCATCTCACGCTCCACCAGCTCTGCGGATGGCGATTGCTCGATGGCCGCATACAGCATGGCTTTCATTTCCTGGGGAACATTCAATTTCAGGACTATAATAATTTCTACATGTCTGGAAATCACAATCTGATAACTATTTTAGTCGTAACATAAAAAAAAGCACTGCAGGCGGAAACACTATGTCGTTTAACTTTTCGCACTCACTGTTCTTCCCCATCAACTTTTGCTCTCCTTCATCTACTCTTTGGCCTCATTTTCTTTCACCCCCCTACGTTTCACCGTAGCGCAACACTTTTGTTTACGTCCAGGGCAAGCACAACAGAAGCGCTACCATGTCAGAAAGCTGCACGATGTGGCAGTTGGGCGCCTGCGCCGATTTTGCCGCGCGCCAAAAGCTGTCACTGACAGCCAGCAGAGCAGGTGACAGCCAGGAAAGCACAGCACTTGCCACACAGATACAGATTTTTCCGCACTTGGCCACTTTTTCGGATCGGATGAGAAATTTGTGGCATTTACCTCATAGCTAATATATTGCTTACGCCACTCGGGCGTTATGTGGGCCGTCAGATGCTCGGCGAACTTCATCTTGGGATGATGGTCTCAGTAAATGCTGCACTGCATCCGCATCGGACAGACAGAACGGGGAACGCGAACCACAGCGAGGACGTTGGCTCTCCAAACGCACGTTTTCACGTAAACATCACAACTGGGGCAAAAGTTCTTGGATGTTGGTCCAAAGGCATCCAATAGGCGGGAAAGCTCTTTTTCGATATGTAAATGACTTTTGCCTTGCTCATTGTTATTGCCCCCCCCCCCTCGTTCCGTTCTCAATGTCAACAATCCACAAAAGCTTATTCGAAATATTGACTTCAGAAATTTATTAAATTATCTAAATCCGTGTATAAATCAAGGCAAATAACATAAGTGGAACATATTGCATATTACTTTTTACTTTGGCTAAAATATCATCCCATTTTCGAAAGCACAATAGTGTGCCAAGTAATTAGCAACGGCTTTCAAAATGTACATTTAGTAATTAAGTATTTGCGATAATTACTTGTACTGGGCAAACCTTCGGACTGGCTAAGCGGTCTGTAATACTCCGATTAATGCGAAACTCTATAGCTGATAGTTATAAATAGACCCCCACCATTTATGGTTTTACTGTTTCTTAATCGGATTCGGTTCCCATGGAGCTACTGCAATCAGCAATGCGATTATTTCTATTATTCTGAACAGAATCTTGTTTAGAGTGGCTTTATCTGCTCACCTTTAATCTTGCTTGATGATCTAATGATTTCAAATATACTTCATAAACCTTAGAGTATAAATAGAGTAGCCTTTGCTGAAAGAGTTACTATATACAAATTAAGATTGGAAGTTAGGCAGAAAAAAAATAACTACAAAGCTGCGTGATTCAATGTACCCTCTGAAAGGGTATTAAAAATTATCTCAGTAAACTAAGCTCGTCATATCGAATCGAAGCAAAACCACAGAGAATTTCCACAGTCTAGATCGATAGCTCTCCAAAATTTATTGTACATTCCCATAGAAGTCATACAATATATGCAAGAGGCAAACCACAGCAGCAGCAGCGGTAATAAAAACCGATTCCCAAAGTCTTCCATAAAGAACGCCAGAGGCCCCAAGAGTGAGACGGTTGGTGGGGTCTGTTTGCTCTGCTTATCGCAATTGACGGGGGTTTCTCTCCCCCCTGCACAGACCAGTATCGTACGCTCTGCTCTCACTATCTCTCTTTCGCTGCGGGCTGTGTGCTGTATTTTATATTGATTAAAGAACAGGCCCGCGCCTGCTCGCTGCCCTCCCCACCCGCATTGAGTCATTTACATGATCACTTCGGAACAAGCGGACCAGAGTGCACAGTTGTGAGCGCTTTGTGGCTGTCAGTCGCTGATTAGCCCGCACACTGGAAAGATCACAGTACTACGAATCCGAAAAGTCCAAGTCCAAGTTCTAGCACTAGCGGATGCGATAAGAAAGCAAATCAGTTGGCAAAAACTATCCGGTATAAATCGAAGGAGCGGTTTCGGCGATCATTCATTAAGCTGGTAGAAACCACACAAGAAGCACAATGCCCCGAGGAGTACTGCCAACAGCCGAACAGATTAACGAGGTTAAGACACGGTTTCTACAGAAACTGGAGTCGGAGCCGCCAGCAGGTAAGCGGAAATCGAGCAACGAGTTGCATGTCCACCAATCCTAATCACTTCTGCCCTAGATGCCTTTCTTCCTGAGGACCTGAAGCGCATCACCGACAACGATTTATGGATCACGAAACTGCTGGAGGCCTTTGACCTCGATGTGGAGAAGACCCTTACACGACTTTGGGAAAACTTGGCTTGGCGCCAGAGCTACGGCGTGTATAACATCACCGAGAGCAATGTGAACCAGGAATATCTGCACGAAGGCTCGATCTATGCACACAACAAGGACAGGGATGGCAAGCCACTGCTCATTCTCAGCCTGAAGCAGCACTCGAAGAGCAAGAACCACGACGATCTCATGCGCCTTGTCGTGTACTGGATCGAGCGCATTCACCGCGAGAACAACCTCGAAAAGATCACCATTTTCATGGACATGACTGGCTCCGGGCTGGGCAACATGGACTTGGACTTTATCAAGAACATCATTAATCTTTTTGAGACAAAATATCCGTACGTGCCCAACTATATACTCGTGCACGAACTGCCCTTCCTGCTAAATGGTAAGTTTTTGGATTCTTTTGGTATAATATAACATGACATAATCCCAATATTTGCCTGCCATCTTAGCTGTGTTCAAACTAGTCAAGACCTTCCTGCCCGCCAAAGCCCTGGAGATCCTGCGCGTGACCACCAAGAAGGATATCACCGAGTACGTGGACAAGGACAACTGCCTCAAGCTGTGGGGCGGCAATGACGAGTACCAGTACAAATTTGTCTAGAATTAAACCATAAACTGTATAAGAGTGTGTAAATAATACGATATTTATTGCCTGAGATACTAATTACTGACTGATTACCGATGGTTTCCCTATTCCAAAACCAATCAAAGTGCAAAGCTTTCCAAATGATAAAAAAAAAGCTAAGCGACGCGAAGCTTTGAAATAATTAAAATGCAGCTGAGCATTTGCTCGCCCACGATCACGTTCTATTGCAGAGGCACGGGCTGGAGCTGGGACTGGGACTGCGGCAGGGGCTTGCTACTGCCCTTTTGGGAGGCCTCCCATGCCATCGAGTGTTTTGTGTTGCTGCTCCACATTCGCCCCGCACGCCAGTTGACTCCCAACGAGTCCCAACGACTGGCGATCGTTGGTTGATAGCCACTGTCGACACCGTTAGCCAGTTACCTGCACGCGCTCGTGGAACGCACTTGCACACAGCTCTCGGCCTCGTCGGTGGTTTTGCTCGTACAATATACAAAGTACAATAGCTGTTGGTGGCTGTTAACAACTTATTGATTGGCAGTGAAAGTAGATTACGTAGTTTACTGATAAGACAGAAACAGGATTACAATAGAACACACCGAGCTGTGCGAAGAGTTCAATGGTTAGTCTGTCGACAGTCGTGGCTGGTTTCGAGTGCGGATTTTAACCGAGTTTCTATCCGTTCATACCATGGGCATTAAGGTCAAGGAGGTGACACCGGGGCAGGTTGAGGAACTGCGTGAAAAGTTCAACAGCAAATATGCCTCAACACCGCCAGCAGGTGAGGAATAATACTTAAGTACCAGTGGGATACAAAGTGCAACGTACATACATAAGTCTGTGACTAATGGTTTTTATGTGCTTGGGATTACTATATACTATAGACTCTGTTCCATGTATACATATGTACATATGTGACAGGTTTTACTACATGTTAGCTAGAATTATTGCAGTTTTTGGTGAATCTTTTGTTTATATTCGTACCCCGTGGCGCAAACAAGTCGGTCGGATTTTATGTACATACATATTTCACCGGAAATTTTTGCCTAACTGAATAAATATACAGAGAGATCTGACTGCAATGCACTGAAAGCTGCTTTTGTTTGAACTTTAACTTCAAAATCCAGCTTTGGCTACCTAACTGATTAAATATAGAATGGGGCGTAGGCACTTTTCCTCGGATCAACTAGACCTGCAATTTAGGGTTCATTAGTAATATTTTCTCAGGCGATTGCAAAGAAAACTGAGATCACAACGAGATCGCGTATAAACACAGGTATTATTTAAAATAAGCAAATACATACTCGCTCTGAAATCAGAGATTATAAGATAAAATCAGAGTAGATGGCAAACCCCAAAGGGTTCTGTTTGCCTTCTCTCCAGTTCATATAAACAGAAATACGCTTGCAATAACTTCATTAAACTTGATACCCTGCCTACCCCCCCAGCACCGTTCCATCCGGTTGATATTGATCGCATACGCAACGATCATGTCTGGCTGCAGCGATTCCTGGAAATGTATGATTTGGATATGGAGGCATCCATGGCCAAGCTATGGGAAACCTGCGCCTGGCGCCAGTCGTACGGGGCGAATGATCTGGACGAGAGTAAATTGAACCAGGAGTATCTGAAGGAGGGTTCCGTGTTTGTCCACAGCAACGATGTGGATGGCAAACCATTGTTGGTTTTTCGCGTCAGGTTGCACAGTAAATCCAAAAGTTTGGACGAACTAATTCGCATTGTGATCTACTGGGTGGAGAGGACTCAGCGGGAGAAGCACATGACACAGGTGACCATATTCTTTGATATGGCGGGCACGGGTCTGGCCACCATGGATCTGGACTTTGTCAAGCGTATTGTGGAGACGTTCAAGATGTACTACCCCAATGCCCTGAACTATATTTTGGTGTTTGAACTGGCCTGGGTGCTCAACGGTAAGCAATCAACTTTGAACTTTTACCTAGACATTAACCGCGACTTTCCCCTTCACCATTTTAGCTGCCTTTAAGGTCATCAAGACCCTGCTGCCGCCCAAAGCGGTGGAGATTCTGAAAATGATATCGAAAAAGGACATCGGCCAATACATTGCCAAGGACAACAGCCTGACCAGCTGGGGTGGCGGCGACGACTATGAGTACAGCTTTGTGGCTGAAACGAAACGGGTGGTGGCATCAAAGCCAGTCGACAGCACCGACGATGACCAGCTCGGACTGGGCGGGGACAAGAAGGTGAGTGAGCCACGGACTGACCATACAAAAGATATCAAACACAAAAAAAAATCTCGAACAGTGTCCGGCTTATGGGTGTGTTCCATTTGGTTTTAGCCGGAAAATCTTGGGGTCCTCTAATTGCTTTTCTGACCCGACGAGTCCGGCACGCTAGTGACCTTTGGCTTTCTCCATAATTGATTTACATTCTCGGTGTTTACTATTGTATTGATTTAGGGGAGCGCTGCTTGCGTGTCCTGCGTGTGTTGCCATCGCCTGTCCGCAAGGAGCTCTTCCCCAGTAGCCGAACACTGAGAGAAAAAAAACGGAATAAAACCCTATTGTTGAGCATTTAGCTCAAAGGATAAGCTTGCAGTCAATCCTCCCAGTGTATGGTTTGACTGGGGGCACACATTACTGGCGCTATTTATAGTCATTTATTTGACATATTGTTCAACTTTTGGGGTCGTCGGTCAGCGGAGCGCCGCCAAGCGTAAAACCATTGACCCGTAAAAAGTAGAACACCCATATACAGCCCATGTTAAGTAACTTATAGGGTATTCCTATTCCCCTAGCGAGAATTACACCCTACACTATACACCCACACGCACACACACATGCTATCCCCATTTATTGCACCCGCCACTCATTTGTAACTGCACTTTCATTCGCTTTCAGTTTCAATTCATTTTCCGAGCAACAGCTGGAAGAAGCTGATCGCAGAACGGAGGAAGAGGAAGCTCACAACCAGCTGTGCTTTGTCCAAAAAGCTTTCGTGTCGTCTTGTGTGCTTTTTCATTTGTGTTTTCGGTCGTCACCATCTAGTCCAAATTTTATTCCAACGCACCAACCTCATTTTTACGTTACGCTGTCCAAGTGTTTTTCAAATCTGTGTCTTCATGTGCATCATCTGCGGTGTTTAGTGTGTAGTTGTAATTAATAAACAAAGAGGAGGAGTAAAAACTGAGAGGCGGAAGCTGCATTGTTATACACCCAATTGATATTCAATCTTAAGCCAACATGCCCAGGGTAGGTACATAGCGGCTGCATTGGTATGTGTGTTTGGTACGGTGAAGTCGCGCTATATTATTTGGTCATCAATGGGTGGTGTTATAAATAAAACCTGTATAATCATATGAATCTTGCTTACCGGAACTAGTAACATGTGTGACAGAATTTCAATAAAAAGGCTGGCTTCAGTTGTTCGTTGTATGGCGTCTTTACTGTCTGGTCTGTGAGTGATCATGTGTTGTTTGCGAGTAATGCAAAAAAAAAGTGCATCGAATTGTAATTCAACACCCATTGCGCCTTGGATATTGTGATATGGTCTGTCGTTTATGCAGTTTAAACAAAAGAAGATATTGCTTAAAACGTCGCGTCGATTGTTTTGTTTCATTCGAGGCTCAAGAACTGGTTCCAGGCGTAATACACCCGCTTTAAATTGAACTATAAACTAATTCCAAAATAGGCAATAATGTGCTAACGCTTTTCATAAATTCACTAACGCTTATCAGGGACCGGGTTCCGGTCCGCTTACATATAAACAGGATGACCAATAAAAGGGAGCTCTTAAATTTAGACAATCTTGTAGAGAATTGATTCATCAATCGAATAAAATTATATGTTTAGCGCTGAGGGTCCTAGCTAGCTAGTAACATTAGACCGAATATCAAAATTAAGGAACCTGTTTAAATAGAGGGGTGTTCAGTGGGTTAAGTTCATTCGAACACTCATGATTTATGGTATATATTATAGTATGTAAATCAATTTGTTGGTATATTACGGTATATATTTCTGAGAGTATACGGCATATGTGTATACAATAAATGCATATTTAATCAAAATTTACCAATCTGTCTGGATATAAGTTAAGCGTAAGTGGTGACAAAGAACAAGTTAAGTGTCCAGAGCAAAGGGGTTGATACAAACATTGATAGACCATATAAAGATGTCATTACAGTCGCAGCCTGGCCGTCAGTATCCGTATCCTCGGACTGTTATTGTTTTAGAATCCGATTTACGAGATGGCCTCCACAATACAAGTGGTACCTTCGTAGATGCGAACTCAAGGGTTCTATAATAGGGGGAGAGAGCTCTTGTGAAAAACGCCATTGCCAAGCACGTTCGACACAAAAAGCCTGCCGACCAGTGGGTGGAATAAGTGGGCGTAAAGAACTAGAAGGGCGGCAACGGGCAGTTCCATCAGCATCCATTCTAACTTGCTTTCTGTAATCGACAGGTACACTTTGCCACAACCGCTCCCATGGTGCTGAAGGAGTCCAACATCGGGGACATGCACACCCCAACAGAGGGTAAGAATATCAATCAATCTTTTTGAGAAATCATCAAATCAGAAATCCACATGAACTGCTTATAGTGTCATAAATATAGAGTAGAGTAGCATTTGATGTATCGTCATTTCAGTTGAATCTTTCGAGCGGTTTCAAAATTTTTTTTTTTATTAGATATATTTCAAATTACGTAGTCGTTCATATATTATTTTATGATCAGGCATGTTGCAACTGGAGCAGAAAGAGTTTGTCAACTTCAATCCGAAAAATGCGGAGGCCACGGTGAACTTCAAGTCCATCGCCAAGGTGCCAGTGACCTATAAGGTGAGTTGGTCCCGTCTATATCCCCGTAGCGTTAATTAAATCTATTTCCTCATATTTCATATTCAGATTCAAACCACATCGCCAGAAAAGTTTCGCGTGCGTCCACGATGCGGCATCATATCGCCCAACGAGAACACAGAAATAAGCATTTGGCTAAAGTCGGAATACAAACTGAGCGACGATAGCAAAGACAAATTCCTTGTGATGGCCATGCTAGCCCCTGGACTCTGCGGTGGAGCAGATGTGGCAGACCTGTGGCGAAACAAGTGCACAGGTGGCCCGGAAATAGAGCAGCATCGTTTGGTCTGTCGCTTTGATGATGCAGCATCCAAATGCGCGGGCAAGGCAACAAGCGAAACAGCTTTCGACTGCGGAAAAGGTGGAAAGCCGGACGTAAGAAATTTAGAAATTTCACTAGCCAGTAAAGATTGTGTTATAACCCGTTTACTTATTGCAGTTGCAGACCCAGGTCAAGTCACTGTCCAGGCGCTTAAAGATTGCAAATGGCATCCAGTCTTTAACGTTGCTACTGGTTCTGGTGCTGTGTGCTGCTGTCGGGTTTCTATATTTTGAACATTATTATCCCCCTGGGGCCGGGAGCTGCGGCAAGCAATCTGCCGCTTTTTGTCCCAATAAGCGCAAATAATATTTACTGTTTCCTTGTAATCTGACCAAGCAGGATGAGAAGAAGGTGGCTGATGCCACTGCCAATTACAAAAGCAATAATAACCACGACTGCTATGAACTAGAAAACTACGCATGTGCTTTCGATTTAATGGACCTGGGACTAGACTACAGCGAAGCCAATTATATCGACTGTTTGGAGACCCTCATCCAAGCCCAGCTGCAGCTGAGGCGCAGCTGCAATGCACATCAACTGAGCGGCGGTGTAGTTGGCGGTGGTCATCTGCTTGGTCTTATTGCATTTGCACGCAAATTTATGCGTGTCATCCTCTCGCTATCGCTGCTATGCGGCATACTAATCGTCAGCTTCTACCTGGGCAGTACCTATGACGAAAATCAGGCCGCAACCACATCCCTAGCCACCCTCGACTCAGGGGCCGCCGGAGGCAATCGTCGACAGCCGTGTTATTTGTAGTCTAGCCAAAATCACTATCGACTATGTACAATATGCTAAAAATGCGTTCTAAATTCCAGTTATATGATATTCAAATATGAGTAAATGGTTTATCCTAGTTGCCTCTCTTAAATTAAATACCTCCCACATTACCATCAGCAATCTCTCTCCCCGCTTGAGCCAAGAATTTATAGTTTTATAGGATATGTCTTTTGTAAATTATAGACCTGAAACATTACGGAGTAAAACAGTTAATTAGTAAGTAAATCAAATCTAAACTTGTTTCATTTGTCCATTTAAATACAACATTTACTAATGTTTTGTACTTGTCAAGCGTTTTCAAATTATTTAAACAAGTCAGTTGTTTTATTAGAGTGATAAAAGGAATCTATCGCCGGTCGTTGAGTGTCTAAGATACACACGGAAATCAATATTGTAAACAAATTTACCATACAATCAGTTTCTGGCTTAGATCCATATGTATCTTGGGAATCTGACCGGGCGGAAACATTTCTTAATTAGGATAAGCGTAGGAGCCGCTAAATGCGACCAAAAACAAATTGGGTGAAGTCAACTTTTATTTAAATATATTTTAAGTTTTACTTCTTTTTGGGTCCTCCTCGTTTGGCAGGGGCCTTCTTCGGTGGAGTTTTAGATTTTCCACCTCCCCCCTTGGCAGTTCCCTCAGGGAAAGTCGGAGATGGCGGAGCAGGAGTCTTGTCCCTCTTGCTGCTCGTGGCTTCTGCAATCACTATCTTGTTTTCCTCCTTAGCAGCTCCTCGCTTGGCAGCGGCCTTTTTTGGTGGAGTTTTAGTGTTGGCAGTCTCCACGGTTGCAGTCGGAGAAGAAAGAGGAGTATCGTCCTTCTTGCTGCTCGTAACTGCTGTTGGCACATTCTCCTTTTGCTCCTTCGCATCAGCCTCGACCAAAAACAGACCGTGCTGGCCACCGCCCGATGCAAGCAGCATCTTTTTGTTTTGTGTATTTTTGCTGCTGATAAGAGCCGGCTCCAGTTCATCGTCGCCATCGCCTATACCCAGCTGGTAACTGGTGCCCATGCCCCAGGAATATAGCTTGCCATCTTCAGTAATGGCATATGAGGAGGTTTCGCCGCATCCGACGTGTACAATGTTGTTCGACAGATTACTAGGGGGCGATAATTGGTCCACTATATCCTTCTTATCGCCCAGGCCCAGGCGTCCATACTCTGGCCGACCAACGGCATAGCATCGTTGATCGCTCTTCAGAAATAGTGTGTGGTGTACACCACCAGAAATCTGATTGATGTCTTTCAGCGTAGTCTTAATGGGATGTGAAAACATATCCCCATTTTTCTCGCAAGCCAGCTGCTTGTAGTTGTTCAAGCCGACGGCCCAGATAGTTTCTGTCTTTGATTCCCGCAGGAACGTACAGTAATTGGTAGCCCATATAGCCTCGAACGGCTTGGATCGCTTAACGATCAGCTGGTCCGGTCGAAGTAAATCGCGCTTGCCACGGCGACCTGGTGAAATGAAAACGAAATCGTTTGTAAATTTGAAAAGACACACACGTGGGAAAAAAACTCACCCTCTCCGCCCAATGAACGCTCTGAAATGCGTCCCAGCTGGCCCTGCTCAGCGCATCCGACCGTGTACACCTTTCCACTGGTAGTTAAAATAACCAAGTGATCAGAGCCCGAGGCAATGCTGCAGCAGACAGTTCCCGCCAAAAGATTAGTTGGTACGCGCTTGTTGCCATCGAGTGTCAAGCCCATATTTCCATGCGAGTCGCGGAACGAACCCCAAGCATACACGCTGCCGTCTTCCAATATGCACGCAGAATGCGAATCTCCCGCCGAGATGCACAGCGCTTTGCCGGGCAAATCGACCAAGGCGGGCAACGACTCGCTGCCTTCCTCACTGGAACTCCGTCCCAAGGCGCCCTCGTCGTTGCAGCCAAACGAGTAGATATCGCCATTCTTCGTCAGGACGAGGCTATGCATGCCCCCAGCGCAAACATCCACAGGATTGGGGATGTTCTCCACCACAGAAAGACGCTTCCGCTCTTGGATATCCTCACCCAAGCCAAGCTGCCCGGTGTCGCCCGTGCCGCATACCAGCACGCTGCCCACAGTCTGGCGTCGCTTGGGTAGTTCCAGGTGAAAAACAATGCGCGCCCTTTTTGCCGGAATGGGCTGGTCGTCAGCCTCGCCGGCATTGTTGTTGTTCGTTACGGCCTTACGTCGTGGCATTATTTTTGCTGAGATATTTCACAAATTTAGTCACAAAAACTAACACTGAAAAAATGTACAAGCAAAATATAAGGTTATGGACGTGACGCTACCGCCTACCAAGGCAAGGCTATGCACTCACAATGGAAATTATGCCGGATATCTTAGGGACACGTTTTCCTGCAGATCCCTGCTGCTACGGTGGTTTTAATGCGAGTGAAAACCAAATAGCAAAAATAGAAAGATCAAGATTTTGACGGAAAATGCGCGGGAATCGGCAGCTGCCTGCGATGTGACCCAGGTTGCACTCGATAGGCACGTACACTATCGATATATGCCCAGGGTGCAACGCTTTAAAATGACGTTGTGTTGTGTCTTTTTGTCGACAAAAGATAGAAGAATTATATATTCCGCTCGAGCCCAGAAAATCCCATCGGCTGCTGCTAAATTTTTGATCCACCGAAATTACAGTCATTTTTATTGTTTCCATACGAATATCATCCCTGAATCGCATCCAAGTACTAGTCTCCAGGCAAGGAGGAATAGCATGAGATACAACTATTGGCTTTTAATCAAACAACTAAGGCACTACTTGAGACAAAAGCAAAATTGTATCCGCAAAGTAAAACAAATAAAGCATATCGAACAACTGGAAAACCAGCTTGACGCATGTACTTCTCTCGCACTGACTGCAGACTATCTCTGTTTTCCAGCTAGTCAGTTAGCAAAGTCTAATGTCATAACACCATTACGATTCAGCACTATCGATATTTGAATAAACTGTATCGATACTTGAGTAAATTTTATTGATATTGACGCCACGCCATTGACATATGTGCATACAAATACAATTTTAATTGTCTTAACAATGGCGAAATCGTCGCGTAAAACCGAGGATCTGCAGTCGTTCCTGAACAATTTCCACAAGGAAATAGAAGACGGCAGCGACGACAAAGTTGTGCACAAGATTCTGAAATCAATCCGAGCCGAGGACGGAGTCGACGAGGGCGATGAAGACTATGTTGAAGTCTCTGAGGAAGAACAGTCAGGAGAAGACGCGGACTATGATCCAGGTGAGGAGGAGGACGACGCGGACAAATACTTTATTGACGACGACGGAAACTGCTATATCAAGACAACCAAAAAGCAGAAGGAGCTGCTGGAAAAGTTGAAGAGCTCGGCCAAAAAGCCCAGCAAGACCACCCGTCCAAGTGCTGGTAAGGCGTCCAGCAAAGGTGAGTTGTACCAGGCAAACACAATCCACACATAACTAACGAAATTGTCCCTCCAGTCATAAATTTACGGCCTGCCGTATCTCCCCCGAAAAGGGTCACAAGGTCGGCAGCAGAGCCAAAGCCAATCAGTGTACGAGCAACGAGTGCAGCAGCAGTAGTAGCTGCTAGTCCTAGTCCCAAGCTGCCGGCAAAGGCATTTGCTAACACTACCAGAGGCAGGCCAAAAAAGGTACTAAAGGTTCCCTCACCGAAGCTCGAGCCGAAATCCGAGCCCCTCGACATCGAGCGCGAGATCGAGGAACTGGTGGCTGAAACAGATGATGCAGTTGTCGTAGCCGATATCACTGGAAATTCTGAATACACCATTGACAATGATGCCGTAGAAGCCCTGGACAATGTGGCTGATGGCGAGGTCTATGAGTTCGATGACAACCCACCAGAAGACACCAAGCAGGAACTGAAGATCACTACCAGGCAGTTCTTACTGAAGCCTGTGCCAACTGTGGAGAAAAAAACGCCCAAGTCGCATCCCTTCAGCTGTTCTCAGTGCGCCTACACGACCAACAAGAAGTTTCTCATTACGCGCCATAACAAAACTCACGAGACTGAGTTGTCCTACATATGCTCCATATGCGATCGAGGATTCAAGACCAATGTGGGATTGGTCAACCATGTGAACACCCATTTGGGGAATAAGCCGCACAAATGCAAGCACTGCGAGAGCGCCTTTGTCACCACGGGCGAGCTGATAAGACACACCAGATACAAGCACACCAAGGAGAAGCCCCACAAGTGCACGGAGTGCAGCTACGCTTCGGTGGAGCTGACCAAGTTGAGACGCCACATGACCTGTCATACAGGAGAGCGGCCATACCAGTGTCCCCACTGCACCTATGCCTCGCAGGACATGTTCAAGCTGAAGCGTCATCTGGTTGTCCACACGGGTGAGAAGAAGTATCAGTGCGATATTTGCAAGTCCCGGTTCACGCAATGCAATTCCCTGAAGGCGCACAAGCTAATCCACAGCGTTGCGGACAAGCCCGTGTTTCAGTGCACTCAATGCCCCACCACCTGTGGCCGGAAGGCGGACCTGCGCCTTCACACTATGCATATGCATACGGCAGATAAACCTATACCCTGCAAGCGCTGTGGCCAGAGTCTGCCCGATCGCTACCAGTATAAGCTGCACATAAAGACCCACGAGGGCGAGAGATGCTATCGTTGCAAGCTGTGCGAGTACGCCTCTGTTTCCCAGCGGCATTTGGACTCGCACATGCTCATCCACTTGGGTGAGAAGCCCTTCACGTGTGAGCTGTGCCCGCAGGCGTTCCGTCAGCGTCAGCTGCTGCGGCGCCACATGAATCTCATGCACAACAAAGAATACCAGCGGCCTGAGCCGCGCGAGAAGATGCACAGTTGCCCGGAGTGCACGCGGATGTTTACCCACAAGGGTAATCTGATACGGCACATGGAGACTCATGACGACTCGAAGAATGCTCGCGAGGAGCGGCTTAAATTGAAAATGGGTCGAAATGTTCGTCTACAGCCAGATGGTAGCATCGTGACTCTGGTCAACGAAAGTGACTTCGCCAGAGACCTCATTGACATGGAGGAAGAAGACGAAGATAACTTTGAACTGGCCGATGTGGAGCCGGACAACTATGATGATGAAATTTTAGAGGCCATCGGCAGCCCTACAGCGAAATCAAAACAAAATCCGGTTATTATCAACACACAACCCAGAAAGAGCTCCATAAATCAGCCCGTCATCATTAACCGCCGGCTCAGGTCCAAAGGCGGCACTAAGACATTCCACATTAAGGAAGAGCCAAACACCTCAGAGTTTACGGTTGAGCTGCAGGGCGATGATGGTCAGGTCATGGTCGTGGAACTGGTTAATGGCGACGAGGAGGTGGTGGTCAAACGCGAGCCCAAAGGCCCCAAGATCAATGCCGACAATTGCTTTGGCTTTGAGGTGAGTCAGTTTAAACTCTAAATACAAAAGAAAGCCATGAACTAACAAGGGTTTTCCAAATATTTGTATGATTTTAGGAGGATGACACCGAATATGCGGATTATGGGGAAGAAGATGCCGAAATGGATGGAACTTCACAGGAATTTCTTCAGCTAATGGATATGATCGAACAAGATAGTTAGTCCATTGCAGGATAAAAGTAAATTAATAAGGATCTTGCATTGTATGTAATAAGATAAGAGTTATACCGAAATACGTACACACGTAAAGTAATTTAAATATTATAGAATAAATGATTTGTTTTCTTAATTATATCCCCAAAGTTCTAGTATAGCAAATAATTCTATAACTCATAGCCAGTGGCGGATACTTATGTAATTAACCATTATTGTTTACGCACGACAGTAGCCAAGCTGTGTCGTCATTTTTCCGTCGCTTCGGCTAGCATGCAACAGCCTTCTGCTACCGTTTTTCGGCCCCAATACTGAAACATCATACTCAACAATAAACAAAACAGCTAGTCAAAGACCTTTGTAGCTGCACAGAAGTTGTTGTTAAAGATTCAAAGTATTTTTAGATGACAACTTGGCATAAATATTTATTTAAATACATACAATATATATATTTCAATGTTCTCAATAGTGGTATATGGGCAAAATGTTAGGTGCGCTTGCATTTGATCGAGCTGCAGCATGTCTGGGCGTGCACTGTGTAACGCTGTAAATTCTCGGCTAATTAATTATCGTTTCCTACCATAAAATGTTTGCATTGCATATTTGTTTTCATCCATCCTTCTTTCATTTCTCTCTCTCTTCAGCAATTCGGTTTCTTCACTGGCTATCATTTGTTTCTCTTGCCGTTTCAAGTGTATAACTACAATAAAAATATATATATGTATATATATTTAGTATATAATATATGTGTATGTATATACTTTAGGTGGTGCAATGTGCAAAAATCTGCTGTGCAGTGCGCATCATTATCATTTATCATTATTTCAATATATAGTACATATAGAGTGGTTTCTTTGTTGCTGTTTTTTTGCATAAAACGTTAACAATTTGTTTGTTGTTACATGTGTACATACATATATGTATACGAATGTATAATAATTAAAATGGAACAACGTCGATAAAGGAAGTTCGTGCACATTGAGGAGTTCTCCGAGTGAGTAGATACGAAAAATTACATTTAGAAATCGAAAATTGCTTTCAGTATCGGAAACACGAATACGAAATAGTACAATTAGAAATACAACAGCTTAAATATTGCATATCCTATAATTAAGTTAATGCTTTTTGAGATTTACTTGGCCCTGGCATTGGCCTGGCAAAAGGGAAGGAAACTAATCGAGGCCCTATTCTGTGCTCCTCCCCTCATATCTAATATTTAAATTGAAAACATAAGCGTATCAAAAAAAATGTAACTAAACTATACGTAAACGTAAACATAAACAAATTCATGGAAAGCTGTTCTATGGCTCATTTGCTAGCTCGTTCATAAGCTTGGCTTATATCATTTAACTTTTGGCTTAACAATTTTTCTTTTTGTAAGGCTGCTCTTGGTTTTCCCCTTCTCTTTTCCATTCCCTTCCCATCGTTTCCTTTCTTTTTTCTTCTCTGCCCTACATTTAGTTTTAGTTAGTTAAAGTTGGCTATTTGTGAGCCTTCTGGGAAGCAAAAGGGAAACATAAATCTCAGAATATTTTCAGTTTTTGCAGAAAACGCATTAGGGGCGCACTGAGGCAGGCACTGGCTCTGGCTGTGGCTGTGGCCCTGGCCCTCGGCTCGGTTCTTGGGTTAGCAGCAAAAGAGGCTCCGCCATTCGCAATTCACGATTGCTCCCTCTTTTGCCTCTTTGGCTGTTAATTGCAGTTAAGAGTGTTCTGGTTGGGGCTGTTGCGGGCGGTCACGTTGTTGTGATTGATCTGATTTGATTGCGTGATGCTGGCACTGTCACTGGTCTTCCACGAGAGCAGCTTATTGAGCAGCCGGTCCATGTAGGGATTGCTGCCCAGACGCATCACCTGCCAGAGAACAGAGGAGAAAGCATAGCAAGCACATCCATTAGCTATTAATAAAGCAATCAATTTAGTTCAAGGACAACCAACCTCTGCACGCGCCTCCGCATCCAGCGTCTCGAGAACCTTGCGCGTGTACTGAAAACTGCCCAGCTTTTCCAGCAAACTGATGCAGTACTTCTTGACCTCAATGTCGTGCGTGCGCTGGCGTAATATGTCTGCGGACACAAAACGTAACTTGATGAGTGGCGAGCCTTGGGGTCAAGTTTGTGATACTTACGTAGAACCTGTTTGTCCTGCTTTTGTGAACGCACCGCATGGATCACTGGGAAACCGAACTTTCCCTCCGTCAGATCCTCGGCAAAGCTCTTGTTCTCTGTGTACTGTAGGACAGAGAATGGTCAGGGTCGGGTCGGTGCTTGAGTGTCAGTGTTCAGTGTGCAGTGGACTATAACTCACCTCTTTCAAACTCAAGTTGCAGTAGTCATCACGTATTTGAAAGTACAGGCCCAGAATAGCCGTCAGCTTTGAGTAATCCTCCTTGTTGGCACTGAACAGCTGCATGAGGCGAATGGCCAGCATGAACAGGCCGCCAGTCTTGCGCACAGTCATCAGTTTGTAATCCGATTCGGAGGGACATGTGAAGCTATCCCGCCAGTAAATCTCCATTCCCTGGCCTCGATGCAGCTCCAGCAGTTGTTCCGTATAAACTTTGGTTGCCTACCAAAGATCCAAAAATTGATTAATTGAATTTCGCTCGAATCTTGGATATCAGATGACATACCTCTGGATGTCCCAGCAGCTGCACCTTCTCCAGGGCCAGAAACAGGGCATAGTTGGCCGCATTTATGGTGCTGGCCACGCCATAGATTGAATGGGCCACGGGCACACCTCTGCGAAGTATCGAATTGTCTTCAATATCATCAATGCTGTAAGTTAGTAGCAAGAACACATATTGAAGAGCAGGTCAGTGAATCAATCAATCAATCAATCGATCTTCTATGTTAGGAAATGTTCTAATCTAAGCTCACAACTAAAATTTAAATGAGAATAATAACTTGAAGCGTGAATCACGCTTCCATCCCCAGGTATCATCCACAACATGCTAAAACATATTTATGCACACGTATGTACGTGTTGGGTTGGTTGTATGCCTCTCATAATAATAGATGTGTAAATTTAAGCCCCGCTTTAAGGCCAACATCGCTTCAATAACTACGTTGCCCGCCAGGCAAAACCAAAGGCAAGGGGAAAGGCAACGGCAAAGGCAAACTGGGCAGCCCAACATTTGCGTAATTAAAAAATGTTTGCGCTCCGCCAAAGCTGGCAGAACCATTGAAAGGGAATTGGATGGCATGGAGGCGTGGGCGTTGGAGCGACAACGCACAAAGGGCGGCAGCGCAGGAGGCGTCGAGAGTGGAGGAGAGTGGGGCCGGGCCTCGAGGAGCCTCTGGATAGTGATGAGAAAAATGATGGTGGATGGTGAATGGTGGGCGTGCTGCGTTGCAAGAGTTGTCACAATGCCTGTCGACTGTCGGCTGGCTGACTAAATGACAATGGGCATAAGTGCATGAATGAGGCGCCTGACTGACGGACAGGACGGAGTGGGATGGAATGGGTTGCCATGGCAGGAGGTTGGAAAGTGGCTGGCTGCCTCGTGGCTCTTACTTGCAACTGGCATAGTTGCAAAACTAAGTTTTTGCCGATATGAAAATGCATTAGGAACAGAATAGAACACGACGAAGACAAGGCACTTGGGAGGACAGAACAGGACACGAGAGGAGAGGAGATAAAATGGGAATAGAAATGATGTCAAGGAACAATGAGGAGATTTTAAGCAGAATTAAGGCCATTTCAAAGTATTTGCATTTGAATACACGGGGCGACAGGTGGCCGGAGGGTATTAGTTTGCCTGATTGAACATAGAGAGAGCCATGGAGCAGGCTTATAGTAGCTGATTAGCTGCTGCTTGATGATGGTGACAATTCGCAAGGGAAGCACTAAGCTTTGCTCTCCACTGCTGCTGGCATCTTACAGACAAAGGCCCTAATTGAAAAGCGGCAGACACACTTCAATTGGGACAGTTCAGAGTTTAATTGTTGCCTGGGGCTGTAAGGCAGGCAGCATCCTCTCCCCCGTCATTCCGCCCGAGTGGGTGAAATGGGAATGGAGAAAAATCTAAATAATTTATGCAATTCCAGTTCGGGCAATGAAATGCCAAGAAATTCAATTGAAAAAGTATTGTAAACAGCCGATTCTGCGGGCTCATGATGAAATTTTGGAATGAATTGATTTGAGGCAAGCACGTATGTACATACACACACAGCAGAGCAGAGTACAGAACATTATCCAATATAGCAGCCAAACAAGGCCGCCAGTTAAATCCGTCCGAAGGGTGTGAGTCATCCGGCAAATAGAACCAAAACTGCCCTCCCAACGGTGTTATGCTAAATGGATAAAGACTTGCTGACAGACGATGATAAGAATACTCCAACGACCTCCATATGGGAGATAGGTTTTTGGGCAGTGCAGCACTTCTCATTTTTCCCCCAAAAATAAAAAGAGAACTTCACACCCCAAATAGGCTTTCAGCTGAAATCTATATAAACGAAAGCAAATAAACAAAAAAAAAGTCTATACAAAAGGCTGTGCAAGTGTGAAGTGAGATTACACAGAGATACCATGGGTATAGGTATGGGCATGGTATGGCTATGTGTATGATGGGGTTGGGGTCAAAACTGTGGTATGGGGGAAGGTAAACAAAAGCAACGGGCTGAGAGAGAGACACACAAATGCAAAACTAAAGGCAAAGGTCAAATTTAAAATTAAAACATGCTACACATGATTAGTTTTGAATGCAATATCGACAGGTTTTTCATACTACACAGGCACGTACATACAAATATATATATATAATAAATATATATATGCATACTTACAGCAAACTGGAATTATGCAGCATTTGTACAATATCGCCAATCTGCGCCAACTTTTCGGCCGGTATAAGCAACCAGTGATTGAAGGCCAAGGCCAGCTCCGAGCGAAATTGTTTGCCAGGAATCTGTTGTATGTATGTGAAGGGCTGCAGAAGAATCTGGGATAAGCGTTGGGGCACGTGGGTGCGTGGGCGACATGTAAATAAACCGTAAAGAAGTGGGAAGAAAAGAAGCGAGCCATGAAGTAAATTAGTTTGGGTTGGTTTTTGGGGGTGTCGGAGCGTAGACCCAGACACAGGCCCACGCGTTGGCGTCAAACTTTAAAATGTCGAAGTTCAGGCTCTTGAATGATTAAACGGAAGGGATAAGTACCTCATCCTGCTCTTTTTGCGTTGATTTATCTTTGGTTTTCTGCAGTATGCTGTTCAGTTCTTCCATTGTTGTGCCGCGAGTCTTGCCTTTGCTTTGTGTGGTGTTGTGTTCCGTTCCTGTGTGTGGCGTGTCGAGGGGGCGGGCGATGTTTACAACTAAGCGCCGCGATACGCGTGACTAGAATTGTTTCGAACGCCGCTCGTTTACTTAAGCTTGGAAATCGGTTCGGAGGCAACGCAGCGCACTGCTTTAAGACCAGAAAAAGACTGTTATTGAAGTTATTCTGCGACCAGCCATTTGTATATATTGTTGTGAAAACGGCGACCAGTAGAGTCGATTCATCGATTCATCGGATGCTGATATCGATGATATCGTCTCACTTTGTCCCATCCCTATTTCACGCAAGGTGCCTGCGTGGAAAAAACTTTCTAGATTTTTAAATTAAATCTACTGATATTTACAAAGAAATAAACACTACAATGGCAGAACCACTTCCCATGCGCATCAATTGGAATCCCGATTTGAAACACAACCAAATGGAGCGGTATGTTGGCTGGAACAACAAAACAAACCAAAGTCCCGTTCACATGCTGTCTTTATTGTTTTGCCAGCTGGATATGCATTTACCCCGCCTATATCAATAGCAAGAAGACTCGCCAGGAGGGTCGTCGCCTTCCCAAGGAGAACTGCGTCGAGAATCCACACTACCACGAGATGCGCGATGTTCTGTCTGTGACCAACATGCACTTTCTGGTGGAGACACTGAAATATCCCCGCGAGATCAGCAGGGAGATGCAATTCCGCGGCCGGATTCGCGTCCAGCTCCGTAATGCCGATGGCACGTTGTGCAGCAAAGACTTTCCCTCGCGCGAATCGATCATGCAGTACATTGCCGGTAAAATACCCCAGCTGAAGACGCGCCAGAACAAATCGGCGGATTCTTTCCATCAGCCCCAACCGCAGGCAAGTGGCTCTGGAGCTAGCGGCGGCGGCGGTGGTGGTGGTGGCGGCGGCGGTGGCAAGAAGGGCAAAGGCAAGCGCCGTTGATGATTTCCATCATGTTCTTAATGACATTTGTTTAGTTGCTTTCTTTTGTAATAAATTCGGTAAACAGAAAATATTTGTACCCGTATGGTTGTGTCAAGTTCAAGTGCAGGAATTCGGCCTTGGCATGCCGATCTGTCCCAGAAAGAGAAATCAGCACACAGAGCATACGACTCGAGCATAGAACAGAACCCCATTTAGAAATGTTTCAAGATCACGCGATGTCAGCGAAAATTCCGGCGAACTGAATAAAAAACGAAATCGAAAATCGAGCGACTGTCACGAAGCGGAGAAACATCTACAATTTCACCTGGTCAGCGTATAAAAAGCGTCGCGCGTTGCAATCGTACAGCCACAACCAACCCAATTCGAGAGCCGCCACGACCATGACACCGGAAATTATGAAAACTCGGAGCCTCTACGCCTACACCATAGCCCTAATCTTGGTTTGGCTGGCAGTCCTTCAACTACATATGGCTGCTGCAGTGCCTGAAACCACCGAGTCTACGTCCGTACTCTCCACTACATCGCTGCCAGCGGCATCATCTAGCAATGCCAATCCCCTGACGGAGGCCAAGCACGAGCGGAACTGCAAAGCCCTCTGCGAGCATTGCGGCTGTTTGGGCTTCTACTGCGGCGAAGAGTGTCTCTGTGAGTGCAACAACGAGAACTCGGACACGGAATGCATTCGCACCATGCAGGTGAACGCGAAAACACTGAACACTCCCTTCCAGATCCTCATCCAGGGCCCCAGCAGCAACCGCTTCGTGCGCAACGCCCAGCAGTTTGAGCAAAGGCGCGATCTGGTGGCCAGGAGCGCCACTGGACCGAAGACAGCTCGTAATCGTCGAAACACCATCACCATCTACAAGCCCTCCAGGTCGGCGGGCAAGCAAACAGCCAGCCAGCTGACGGCTAACGCTCTCGAAACAGTCTCGAAGGGGGCCAAGGAATCGGAGCTAGCAAGGCATAAGCGATCGGTAGATCACCTGGAGTGGTTCAACGATTTCGCCAGCACAATGGTGCGCCCTTCTCCTCTGGGGACACGTGGCCAGAAGCAGCGGGAGTCCAAGCCTGCGGCATTCAAACGCCAAGCCGCTCCAGTGGAGCCTGTCGCAGTTACACGTCGTGAACCTTGGTTCTTTGAGCAGAGTGGAACTCCGCTCCTACGTCCTGCGCCCCTACAGAAGCGACAGCAGGCGAATCGTGACAGCAAAAGGTTCTGGAAAAGCAAGAAGACTGCGTCCCGCAAAGCCGCATCCTTTGAAGAGTCACAGAGAGAAGCAGTGAAGTCTGGACGGGACATTAGACCACTGAGAGATGCAATGCACGTGGTGGAGCGTATTCCGCGCGTCCTTCAGGACACTGTGAGCCATTTGTCATCCGACAACAACAGCGGCGATGTCTTTAGCCTGAACATCATGAACGATGACGTTGAGCCCAAGGAGCCGGCGCCCATTCCTCGTCGTCACAGGGCCCGCCTCATGAGCAAATCCCGCAACGATATTGAACCAGAAGCTGTGACCCTAGCACCTGCAGGAGGTTTCGCTCCTCCCGCTCCACTGATACCCCAGCGTGGCCTCCTCTTCCCTTGGCTGCGGCAGCAGCGTTTGAGGCGTCTTCAGCAAGCTCGCGGAAATCAGTAGAACACAAACATAGCGCGTTTTTTATTATCTTTGTTGCATATTTTTAAGTATTCTTCGAGCAATAAATTTTCAGGCGTTAAATTTTTAAAATCGATATTTATCGACGCAACCTTGTTGTCCTACCACACCATGCAGGCGGAATGAGCAACAGTTTTCCCGTGTGAAACGCGCGTATTTATTTGAATTTTATTTAGAAAGAACGTAAAGTAGTTGATATCACACCAACAATTATATTATCAGAAATATATACATCAATAATCGATATAACCATATATATTCAACATTGCTGCTTTGATCGTTCCTCTTGCGGTTGCGTTGCCGCAGCTCCGCTACGCCGTTGCAACAGGTAGCTAACAAAATTGGTACAAAAAAAAGGTGCATCGCAAGTGAACGAACCCTTCCCCCATCCCCACAAAGAGTGCCTGAACAAAGGGGGGCTATTCATTCCATTTACTACGAGATATATGTGGCTTCAGCTGAGAGAGCGTCAAGTGTACGAGACGAATCGAGTGTTTTAACGTTAAAGAGAGTAAAAACAAAAAAAGAGAAAATGAAAACCATTCATTTATAAACGAGTATCTGAATACCGTACTCTATGTGCATATTAATTTGTGTCGCTTGTACATAAGGAAATATACATAATAACAATGAAGTAAATAGCTGTGCTGTGCCCTTGCCAAATACTTATTTCTTTCGAATGTGAAATCAATTCAAAATCAAATACACAAGCAAGTGAAAGAGAGTGGTCAACTAGTTGTTTCACTACATTTGTTTCTGCTATTCCCCCAATCGTTGTCTGTGTGTGTGTGTGTGTGTGTGCGTGTGTGCGTTTGAAGATCCCCCAACCAGAACGAGGAACCCGTCTGTTGCTGTCGTTAACTGGATCCAAGGGAGTGGATATGTAAGAAAAGTCAAGAGCGAGAACCTATCTATTTTTAGCTGCTGCATCGCTGCTCTGTGCATTCAGCTCCATGGGAGAGCTTATCTCAAAATCTGGAAATAAATGCCGAACAAAACATTCCAAATGGAAGGGGGAATGTAATCATTAAAGTCGTGCAGTACGGATGTTAGATTATCACCAAACACCTCTGAACAGAAACGAACACTCCCATTTCTCTGGTGTTTTTCCTTATGGTGTGATCCAATAGTGACCAGGCGAAATTTAAAAAAATTTTAAATGTGGCAATTCGATAAATTTAATCATGTAATAAAATGGCAAGGTTCCCTTCTAGCGTTATCAATGCCATGATATAGCCACACCGATAGTGCCGTTAACTAAAGCACACCAACAAACACACACAGACGCAATCACAGTACCATGGAATGGGGGAAGAAAACAGCTGCACTGAATCAGTCTGCGATTGTCTTTATCTTTTATAATTGCTGAGATAAGTTGGTCAAACTGTGTCTGGGCAATGGGGAGGATAATCCACCAACAAAGCAGGCAGATAATCCATTAAAGTGGCATGTTTTGAAGTCTTTATATAGTGGAAGCCCTCATAAAGAGGGCGATATTATCATTTAGAAATACTCATGCGAGCATGTGCGATCAAAGGGCATTTTAGTTTACATTATAGAAACATTTATTCTACGAGCAAAACAAAAAATTCTATTAATTCCTCACACTTACAGAATGACAAAGCCGGAGTTGATGCATTGGTAATTCCACTCAAAGACATATACACAGGAACAGCATGGAGTTTGTGCGCAAAATGCGTTCACGCATGGAAACCAAAAGACTGCCCGAGGATGTCGACGATGGACTGGAGACCCTGGAGGAGTACACGCAGCGCTGGCGCTCCGTGCGCATCATCTACTTTACAATGTTTCTAATGGCGCTGGGCTTTAGCATTATCATCACGGGGATATGGCCCTTCCTCGACAAGGTGAGCGTCTCTTTGGTACAGCTCCGTGACCTTTGAAATCTTATGCAAATCTCTCTCCAGCTAGATCCCGATGCGGGCAAGGAGTTCATGGGTCTGATTGTCGCCGCCAATCCGTTAGGGCAGATGATCTTCAGTCCCATATTCGGCTGGTGGGGCAACAAGCTGGGCACCATTCGTCTCCCGCTGCTCCTCTCGCTGGCCCTGTTCACAGTAGCCAGCGGCATGTACTCCTCATTGGAGCTGCGTCCCCCTAATGTCAAGTACTGGATGTTGGCGTCTAGATTTCTGATTGGAGTCAGCTCAGCGAACATTGCCCTGTGCAGATCCTATCTATCGGCCGCCACGCGGATCAGCGAACGCACCCATGCCGTCTCTATGGTTTCACTGGCCCAGGTCTTAGGGTTCATCATCGGCCCGACACTCCAAGCGGCAGTCACACCACTGGGCGCAATAGGTCATGTCTGGCTGTGGGGCAAGATGCACTTTAACATGTTCACCGGCGCCGGCTGGATCAATGTGCTCATGAGTATGTGCAACTTCCTGATGTTCCTGCCCGGGGTATTCGAGGTAAGTCACAAATGTTTGAAGCTAAGCGAAGCTTTCTTACCTAAAGATTTATCTGCTCTACTTTTAGGAGCACAAAATAGCCGCTCGCGAGGTAATGGTCATGCAGGGTGGCACCTCGGAGCGAGATACGTGGAAGGGCATCAAGCCGAATTATTTCTCCGCCTGGACCCTGATTGTGGCCTTCTTTGTGCTCGTCTTCAACTTTGTGCTCCTCGAGACGTAAGTTGATCCAAACAACGAGAGCTTAAGTGTTCAATGTTTTATGTTTTCCAGCTTGGGCACATCGTTGACGATGGATATGTTCGCTTGGTCAAATGAGCAGGCGCTCTGGAACATGGGCATTATGATGACAACGGCGGCTATAGTTTCGCTGGTGACATTCGTGATGATCGAGCCGATGTGCAAGCTGTTTGCCGAACGCTACGTGCTTATCTGGGGCGGCTTCTCGCTGATGGTACTGGGCCGGGTGCTCTTCCTGCCATGGGGACCCGACCCGCCCAAGGTGGCGTTGGCCTTTAATGCTAGCCTCAATCTTAGCTCCAGCGATCCCGCCTATTTAGGCTGCCCACCCACGCAGGAGTGGTGTGGTGTGATCCCAGCCGTCACCCTGACGCAATTCATCATTGGGTTCGCCCTCACCTCCGTGGGCTATCCAATTGGCGTGACCCTCATACAGACGATCTTCTCCAAGGTGCTTGGGCCGCGGCCGCAAGGCGTGTGGATGGGCTGGATGACGGGATCGGGATGCTTGTCCCGCGTCTTGGGTCCCGTCTTTGTTGGTTCCATTTACACCAGATTGGGCACCTACTGGACCTTTGGGGTTACATCGTTTATGATGCTCGTCGCAATGATTGCGCTGCAGTGCTGCAAGTGAGTTTCCAACACCAGTATTTTCGTCTTTAATTAATCCTCCTTTCCAATGGTAATTTTCAGTCGCCTGCTCATCCCGCCCACATTTGACAAGCCAGCACCTGTGGAGCTGCAAGAACTGAATAAGCCGAATGGCAGACAAATAGAAGACAACTCACCGGATGAATCGCTCATTTCCGAAAAGCATACCGATCCCACTTAACCACAGATCCAGCTGCCTTGCGTAGCTGTAGTTTTATGTTGCAATACTGCCTTTAGAATATCGTCCTCAGAGATACTAGAATCTACTACAACCCTCGCCCCTAAATGGTAGATTGAAACCAATATATCCGTATATTTTTGCATATTTCGACTGCTATCGATGCTTTATTGGTACACACAAAACTTCACAATATTCAATAACTTTCGATCGTTTAATTGCTGGAGAGGGCATGAGCTGTCGTTGTCTAGTTGGTGTGTGTGTGTGTGTGTATGTGTGTGGGGCAGGGTCTTGACCAACATTCAGCGGATTCCGTTCGGTCCAAACGCGTGTGTGGAGGAGCATATAGGAGGGAAAATGCTGCGACAAATATGGTATTTTCTTGTTTAAGTTTACGATTAGTGTTAGTGTAGTAAAATACGAGTACGCGGCAGCCACAAGTGTGAAAATGTGGTCGGCAGCAGCAGCACATTCTGTTAAGGATGACAGCTTGCTGCTGCTGGCGACCAGCTGAGCAGCCACAAGTCTGTTTCTGTTCTCAACGTGTTTGGGGATGGGATGCCACTCAGCTGCTGCCGTGATAGTAAAACTCATCTCAGTAGGGCGCATAGCGGCGACCCGGTGGAGAGGGACCGCGCATGCCGCGTGACGAGATCATACGATCGTCAAAGGAGTCGCGACTAAAGTCCTCATAGCCATGAGGTGTTGGCGAGCTGGGGGTAAGGAAACGGCATAAATTAGGAAAGGCTTTCAGAGAGGCTTTAACTGTTCTCCACGTACCCATAGCGACTCATTCCATTGCTGCTGCGTGGCGGCGGTGGCGAGCGACGACTGAACATGGTGTCATATCCACGTGTGACGCTGCAAGAGCGCAGGCTGCCGCTCAACGGAGGCGGCAATGGCATGGGCTCGCGACGTGAAATCGGTGGCGGTGGGAAGTCGCGCATACGCGATGACTGATACCGACGCTCGTACAGATCGCGTGAATCCTCGAAGCGGCGGTCATAGTAATCATAATCCTGTGGGGGCAAAGAGAATCAATTAGTTGCTGTGAGGCGCGAGGGGGAAGGTGAGCATTGGATGATGTTGAAATGTATGCTGCATTTACCCTAAAGCCATCCATAATGCGATCACGCAGGAATGGCGGCGGAGGTGGTGGTGGCGGATAAGGATCACGACCGTACATACGATCTCTGTAGCCGCCGGCACTGAGCGGCGATGGCGGTTCGCGTCCGCCTCCGGTGCTGCCATAGAGGCGCGGACACTCTTTCGACCAATGACCGGAACGGCCGCAACGATAACACTGCTCCGGATCACCCATGCCCGGCTTGGGGCGCACACGACTAGTCGATACTTGAACCTTGAGCGGTTGGCCATCGACCACGCGACCGTTCAACTCCTTGATGGCATCCTGCACATCACCCACACAGTCCAGATGCACGAACCCATAGTTGCGCACAATGTCGCACTCGACGACGGTGCCGTATTTCTGAAACAGCTCACGCACCTCCGGCGCCCGCGTTTTATCGGTTAGATTTCCCACGAAGATTTTCGTAGTGGGCGTGTTGGGGGCGCGACGACTTTTGGCCGCCTCCACTTTGATGGCATTATCATTCAAAACGTAACCGTTCAAGTTCTGTATGGCATCGCGACCCTGCTGTTCGGTTTCCATGTGCACAAACCCATAGTTCTTGACCACATCGCACTCGACGACTGTACCGTATTTCTCGAACAGCGCACGCAGCTCGGTAGCCTGAGTTTTTTCATCGAGATTCCCGATGAATAACTTGAACGTGCCGGCTCCGGGCATGGCGGCAGCGCTGTCCGCTCCGTTGTCGTCCACGGTTCTTGCGTTTCTTGAAATTGGGGGGAAATCCGGTATTACGCGGCGGCGTTTGTTGGCGGGGCGGTTGCGATCGCGATTGCGACGACAGCGACGGCAGGTACGAGGAGATAACCGCGACCTCAAATTGAAAGAAGAAAACAATGCAATTTTCATCTTGTTCGAACCAATGTGCTAAAAGTTATTAAACAACAGGAGCGCGTATGGCGTATACCGCGAACGTCTGGCATGGATGCTACCACTTTTGAATATTATCTCTTTCTTGAGGAGACGGCACGTCATGCACAATGTCACGCATTAATTGGATTCGGCACAAGTACATACACAAAAAAAGATGGCGTCGACAGGCTCACATTTTCATTTTTCACGGTTGCAGTGGTTCGCCGGGGCTGCCGCTTCAACATAATTGAGAATGCTTTGAACGACTTACCTGAGTGTGCTGCAAATTTAGCTTTCAATGCCCCACAAATTAAAAAATTGTTTTAACAGAATTTTCCGAATTTTATAGCGGTGTGTGCACAAGTGTGACCGTGGATTTATGGATCAAATATACCGTCTCACCCTCAGCAACCCAAATATGCCACATTTTCAAAATAGTGTGACCGTGCTCGACTGTTCAAATACTGCCCTGAAATGTGCAGCTCTAGTTTTGTGAGAGTGTTGGCCAACATCGATTGTTTGGCTTTGCGCAGCACTAGGCGGCTAAAAAAAGCGGGATTCTGAATTTGGAGTTAATGCGAATTAAATTGTGTGCAAAATTATGGAGACGCCAAAGGGTAGTGGATATTCCACACGCCCCGAGCGAACGCCCACCCCCCGATTGTCTGAGCGTAAGAGGCAATTGTTTCGCACCCGCAGCACCAATCTTGATCAGATTGACGATGACGACGAGGTTCGAATCCTTGGAATATCACCACTGAAGCCACATGCCAGCGCCAAGAAGCCCAGCCGACTCATGTTTGATCAGGAGTCTGAGGGCAGACGATTGCGCAGCAGTACGAGCAGCTCGCCGGAGACTAACAAGGAGAACAAAAAGATACGTGGAGGAGGAGTCGTCGTGGCTGCCACCGAACAACTGCCGCTTTTATTTACCAAAACAATGTGCATCGATAGCAATAGCAGCAGCATCAATAGCAGTCCCCGCACGCCCAGATCGAAGAGGGGTCATGTGATCATTCCAGAGTCGGATGACGATGGAGATGATGAAGCTGGAGGAAATGGCAATCCAATCCATCGAGTGGCCACAAAGCGCGTGCACACTATGGCTACGGCGACGGCTACGTCAGCAGTAGCTGCTTCGTCGCAAGATTCGGATACAGGGTCGCCGGAATCCAAGCTGAGAAGGACAAACCTGGAGGGAAGTATTCCAACCATGGCATTCTATTCCCAAAGCGGAACATCCAGCTCGCGAAATAAGGCGGCTCCCAAAACGGGCAGCTCAAGGCAACAGAAAGAGCAACAGCAACAGCGAGGCGGCAAGGCGAAAACGTCACCGACATCTCGGCCACGGTTGGGTATCAATAAAGGAGTGCACCACAAGATACGGAAGCCAAATCGTTACGTTCCGCACAGCCACTTACCTCCTACCGATATAGATCAGATTCTGGGCGCGTTGCGCAATGAGAAGCTCAAGAATCTGATAACCAATAAGCGGGAGGAGCGCGCTAAGGTGGAGCAAGTGCACCAAATCCTGCACAGTGCTCGCGATCCGATTAAAATGGCCAAGCCGTTGAGTGTGATAGCAGCCGATGACGCCAACAACAATATGCCCGAAGGTACGTGGCAACAGACCTCAGACTTCTCCGATCTGAGTGAAGACGAAGAAGAGCAGTCCGATCCAGCTGTGGAGCTGGAACCCATTATACCGCTCATTCGCCATGGCGCGGTCACCATCTCTCCGCCCGAGCCGACGGACCTGAGCAAGCGCAAGTTCTTCAAGTCGGGAAGGAGGAGCAGCACGTGCATGGAAGTTAGGATCACCGACAACATAAAAGCCAGTGTAAGCCAGGGGCGGATATCTCTGATCCAGCCCCCCGCGAAGAAGGCACGAAGAGTGCGCGTCAAATCAGCCACCTTGTTTTCTGCGGAACAGGCCACCGTAGATGCAATTCTCAGGAATCTAAATGACACAGTCGTAGACGAGATAGTGGAATCGAGTGAATCAAAGGCAACGACGGCTCCTCTCATTGAGGTGGAGGACACTGCCATTGAGGTGAATGAAGCTCCCATGGAGGTGGAGGACGCTCCCATGGAGGTGGAGGAGGCTCTCGAAATGATTCAAGAAACTGTTCCAGTTCACGATCATGACCCCGATCCCTTTGATAGATTCCGGCAGCGACTGCCTTATAATACCGATGATCCAGAGACCATGGAACAGCAGCAAATTCTGCTCGAGTTTCTGATTAGCAATAACATCTGCACGGACGAGTATTTCGAGTACTTCATCGGCGATCCAGACAGTCACAAGGAGGAAGCTACACGGATTGTCGATCAGCTGTATATGGTAGTCCATGCTGAACAGTCGGCGCAAGAGGCAGCTATGCGATCGGAGGCAGAAGCGGTGGTGGAGAAAGAGCCAAAACCAGAGTCACAACCTCAGGAACAAACCTCTGATGCAGCAATTACAAGAAAGCCAAAACTGTTTCCCATATTCTCACAACGTCTCCAGCCAGTTCCTCAAAAATCTACGAGACGCAAGCCAGACACCTCAATGCGATTGCAATCGGCGGCCACTGGTTCCAGTCAGTACCAAATCGACGCTGGACAGAAGGCATTCGGTGCGAGGCAGTGTCAGCAGTGCGGCTTGGTCTACACCGTCCACGAGCCAGAGGAGGAGAAATTGCATCGCGAGTACCACAATTCCATACATATTTTACGATTTAAGGGCTGGCTCGACGAGGACATTGTGGCCGTGTGTCCAGAGTGGTCAAACGATGGACGGATTATACGCATTAATGAACGTGCCCCTGCAGTGCGCCTTGAGAGGCTTAAGGATATAGTTAGAGTGGTGGATAAGGAACTGGGATATTCCTCGTATATTGTGCCCAAAGAATTTTACGCCTTTTTCGCCATACGCAAACAGCAAATTGTGGGCTTTTGCCTGGTGCAGCCCCTTAGCCAGGCACATCGGTTCATTCAGGTTGATGGAACGGACTACTTTAGCGAAGAGACCTACGAGGCCAGGTGAGAATATACTCCTTTCCACTTTATTTAAATTTCAAATTAAAATCTCGGCCTTTGCAGTTGCGGCGTGTCTCGCATTTGGGTCTCGCCGCTGCAGCGCCGTCAAGGAATTGCCAGCAAGTTGATGAGGACTGTACAGGGTCATACCATCTTGGGCCAGAAAATCTCTATGGATCGCATTGCTTTCAGCACTCCAACCGACGATGGGCGGGCGTTGGCGCGACATATCACGAACACCGACAATTTTTTGACCTACGACCAGTGATGTGATCAGGAAGGGAGCAAGGGCTATTGAATAGCTGTTTGATTTAGGATTGCTTCGAAACCTGTTTTAGTTGTTAAGCGATTTCGATTATGTTATTTGCAGATATTATGTGGAATTAAAGCTATTTTATTTCAATTAATAGATATATATAATATTTATTTGTGGCTGTCGATCGATACATCAATCGATATCATCGAAATAGTGCAGCCCTGCAAGCGATGCTGTTAGTGCCACCACTGTGCGGTATCGATATCGAGTACTTCTGAGCCAGGCTTTGGGCGTTGTTTTCTTTTCGTGTTTGCTGCTGCTTAAATTAATATAACTACAAGGTTTGAGCGCATTCGCAAAACTCTGAATGAGACTAGTCCGAATCGCAGTGGCAACAAACCGTGCGCAGATGGTAAGTGCAGGCAGGTGGTTTAAACAATCTAGACAGTTCGAGCTGAGGCTTCCGCTATGTTTGTTCTGCTGACGCCACGCCCAATGTGACAATTGGGAAGTGGGTAGGGTAGGAGAGCTTTGCTCATGTTTGGGGTGCTAGGCAGCGTGTGAGCTGGTGGTTGTGCGTGCTTCGTCAGCATTTCTTATTGTCTGCTTGTTCGTTTCAGACAATTAAGTGTTGTGCTGGTTGGGAGCAAGAAGAACATCGAGTGGCTAATCCTGCAGGCCATTGACCGCATTTAGACGGCGGCATAACCACACCCATAAAACCCAAACAAGCCGAGCTCCTGTGGGACTATGTCCACAATCGAAGAGGAACGTAAGGCATACGAAAAAAATCCCTACTTCACCGGTCACATCTACGGCAATTTTTCGCCATTTTATGTGACTATTGCCATCTGCACCGTTGTACTTGGCACGATAATCATACTGAACATTATCTTTGGCTGCTGCTCCAAGCATCGCAAGTACTGGCAGGACCGACACACAGGCAACCGCTGGTTGGTGTCCATTTGGTCTTCAACACCGCACAATCAACCGCCATTGGACTTCACTGAACTGAAAGACGCCTCCTATTTCCAGCGTTTCCATGTAAGTGAACCCCCAATGAGGCCGACTACAAGCTTATAATATTTTTCCACCCAGCCCACCACCCATCAGCAAGTGTTCCCCGACGAAGTGGTTATTGGTGTGGACGAGTTAGAGCCCGTGCATTCAGCGCATCATCAGCGTCCGCCACGCCCAGAAGGTCGTACTCTGCATCACCAGCGTCAGCGCGAGGAATACGTAGAGCTGCAAAAGCGTGAGAGTGACATCTAAAGTAAATTAAAAACAATCAGCCATGGCCCTTTATTTCCTGTACCCCGCTGTGGCCGCCCTGGCCTTGTTCATCGTCGGCGTCATTATAATTATGTTGCGCTATGGGCCACGACTCTGTGGCCTGCGCCATCATGCGCTCCCTGACAACCATGACCTCAGGGAGAAGACATACGAGCATGAGATAAGCTATGCATAATTCGATGCGCTCTTTCTTCAATATTATTACTATTTACACATTCTGGCAATGTTATATAGACATTGCTCTATATATCTTCCCCCCGAAACTAACCTTAGTCACTGTAAGTCCCCCATTACTAACCGTCTTTTTGCACCCCAAGAATAATTATTTTGCATGCAGTACAAATAGCTTCATTTAGTGTCCAAGCAGATCCATTTCTATTTATCATATCAAGACAATGTGCCTTCGATGTAGAGACTCGTGAGTAAATTATGCCGTCCAAGTGTCTTCTAGTATTGTAAGATCCAATATGTAATTAAAATTTAATGTATTTACCCCTTTTCGAGAAGTTTACAGAATCTGCATTTAATGTAATCCTCCATTTTGATTCGTTTATTTGTCTAACGCAAACTCTATACATTTGTATTTCGTTCTTATTTTGTAAACCCAACCCATTATGGTACAGTACAGAAATCAAATAAAGCTCCATTTTACATTTCCGTAAGATATGATTATTATTCGGATTCAGTCCATAGGAATGACTAAAAAAAAGAACATGAGTAGTAGTCTCATAAATCCGTGTGCATTTGCAACCAACCGATGGCTGCCACAGATATACTTGACATTTATAAATTGTACAGAGCATAATTTCAACGGGCAACGGGCGCCAATTAACAAAGTGTCAATTATTAATTAATTATAAACGTAATTAATATGATGCAAAATGTGTTAGGAATAAGTACAATGGAATCAAATGAATTGGCACAGGGCGGAGCTAAGCTAAAAGCTATGACCTTTTGGTCGTCGGCTTTCTTGGTTTCTTTCTCACATGTCGCTCTGCTTGCTTGGCAGGAGCAGTCAGCTCATATCGAAATATGATGCAGCGACGATCAAAGAAGCACTTCAAGTCCTTGGGCTCATACCGATGACCCATTTGCTTCAAATGCAAGTAGATTTCCTGCAGATCGATGGGCTCGTACATGAGCACACTTTCATGAAGTTTGGGATTGGCACACAGCAGATTGTGCCAGGCTATGTGAAGCGGCATTAGCGGCTGTGCTGTCTTCTTTGTCACATTCGTCTGCAGGACATAGCACTCAAAATCGTCGCTGAGGCTTGGCGGCACAGACTGAGAGAAGCGTAGCAGATCATTTCCAGAGGCATTGGTGTTGAATTTGAAATCCAATATAGGCTCAGTGGGCGTCAGACAGGCGTCATTGTTGGCTGAATCTATCGGTCGGGAGCGAGGTTGATCCGACATTACGGGAGTGGACTTGGATCGGGGCATAGGGGCCACCTGTCTTTGAGACAACAACCCTGACTCCAAGGGCTGCAAAATGGGATGAGTTTGATTGTAAATAAATTCAAGCATTTTTACGGCCTGCTTTCGCTTCAGCGGCTTGATTCCATAGTTGTACAACTGCTGGAGGATCTCTGACTCTGGCAGTAGTGTGAAATCGGGCTTGGGAGTATGACAAGCACGAACGGTGTACACATTTCCATTCACCTCCAACTGATCAGACACTGTAGATGATGGCTTCTTGGGCGTTGTAATCTCTGGCAACGTTGACATTCTGCTTTCACCCACTAACAGACAATCAGGCACGGTTGATGATGCCTTTTTGGGCGTTGTAAGTTCCGGCATAGTTGGCATTCTGATTTCACCCATCAACAGACGATCTAGACCGCTTGGCATCGCATCTGTGGACGCCTCCATAGTTGACTTCTTGCAGTTTGGAAAAACTAACTGATCAAAATCATCAAATTCATCATCCAGCAATTCTTCGGGCTTCGAGACAAGTAAATCAGTGAATTTATGGCTACTCATGCGCGACAAAGGCTTCATGGGAGCTTCAAGGAATGATGCATCTGACCAGTTAATATCGCTGTGCGATTCTGGTATTTCTTCTTTGGCGGGGCTCAGCATTTGTGAGAGTGTAAAGGGCTCGGAGAGTGCCGCATCAAGGATCCCAAATTCGGCTCGTTCCTTGCTGAGAGCACTCTTATTGGGCGAGCGTGAGTTTTGCGACTTATTCGAGATTGTAGGCGAAGCCATTAGAAAGGCATCCAAGTCTTCTTCAGTCTTAAAGTAGGCTACGGATCGTTTTTTGGCTACAGGTGATAATCCACTACTGTCGGAGCTCTCATTCTGCCAGTCTTTAACTTTTCCCGTTTTGTTGGCCTTCCACATTGAGTAATTGATCTCCTCATCGGAAAGCATAATCACATCATTGTCTTCATCGCTTTCATCGTTTTGGGTCAGATCAATGCTTGCATCCGAGTGTATTCTGAAGGGCGAAGGAGCAGACAGTGCAGGCTTCTCAGAAGATGAGTCCATTTGCCAGTTTAAGGGACTCTTGAAGCTGTTATCTGTGGACAGGCTAACGCTCCTTCGCAATGAGTTTCTCGAAAAGTTCAGATCACTAAAGCTGCCACTTGGATTGGTATCATTTGGAGTTGTGACTATATCCACGTGGAAAGATGAATTCTCCGAGTCTTTGTCTGTGGCACTCAGTGCAAGTTTATCATCCTCTTTTGAAGGCAACTTTTGGCAACTTGAATCCATAGCCAGACTGCAGTTCAGATTGTCTACATCGAGGCCCGATTCAAATACTTGACTAAGGGTCAGAATATCCGTGCATTGATATGCATTTGGGTCATCGAATTCTGGATTGGAATGTTCTTGTGTCAGATCAATAAAGCTACCATTGGATTTCTCTGAAAAATTATATTTAAATGCTGTGATATGTGATTTACAATTTAATCCAATCCCTTACCTTTAGTACCCATCTGCTCAGGCGTGGTGTCAGTTACAGTCTTTACTAAAATAAGACGAAAATGAATTACAAATTACTCAATGGCATCTAAAGCTTACCTTCATCGCTTGAAATAGAGTAGACTTCTGAGGAAGCGGCTGGTTCAGTGATGGGTGACCTCTGCACTTCTGTCCCTGTACTCGCACTTTCACTTGTGGTTATATTCTTATAAACCTTCAAAGAAAAGCCCTCCACTGACTCATCATCAGAGTCGGCAAACAGATCGGGTGACGTACAGCGCGTTAATTGTGTGGGAATACTTATGTTGGACGAGGTACTGGGCTTAAGGTCTTCTGTGCCATCTTTGGCCATTTTGGCACGCTTATCTGGCGGCTCCTTCAATGGACTGCTACTAGTGGAGGAGACCTCCGCTTGAATGTCACACAGCTTGGGGTCTTCCTCTTCGATCATGTTCTCCACCACCAGCTTCTCCAGTTCATCTAGTTCATCATTCAGTGCCTGCTGGTTAGTAAAATGCCTTTCCAGCTCATTGTAGGCGATTTCCATTTGCTTTATCTGTTGTCGGGTTTTCATGGTGGTCCGCTCTGGGGACAAGTCACGACCCTGTATGGCAGCCCAATCCTTGAGCAAATGATGGGCGGGCGTGTGGCTTACTTCAATCAAGTTGGATACGAAGTAGATTCCTATATCGGCAACAGGACCCTCACTGGGCTCATGTACAATGGCAGACTTGCTGTCGGCTTTTAGTTCTCGGAGTATGCAACTAATCAGCTTATAAGGCGGCATTAAACGCTCTTCAGCACTTAGATTTTTAGTTCGCACTTGCTGAGCCAAAAAAGCAGACACCTTGCTCTCCAGCTTCTTTTGCTGCTGCTCGGGGTTACGCAGCGTGAGGGAAGTAAACTTGTTGGCCCATTTGCAGCGACGACTGCCCCTGCCGGACACGCCGGGCAGTACCGCCAAACTCTTGTAGTCTGTTGGAATATGAATTTGGGTTTAACACGGAAATATTGCAGCTATCTTCATGACCTACCTTCTTTAGCGGCAGTGCGAAAGCCGTATTTCTGGAGCTTACGTCGAACATTCTCCGTCGCTGCTCCTGCATTGTCTCCAACCACATCGACGGGGGCGTCGTCATCGTCATTTAAACGCAGGTGGCCATGCTTCTCAGCCTCTGATTTGGATAGCGCCAGCGCCATTTCAATATCATCTGGACTGAAGTTATCCGCCATGCAGTGCTGGGCAGTCACCTCGGAGAAGATCTGCTCATTCCGCAGGAAATTACTAATGCTGGGCTGCTGCTTGCTGCGACCGCGTCCCCGGCGCGGAGCACTCGTGCTGCTGCCCTTCAGCTTGGGCGCCTTCTTGGGCTTTGGACCAGGCGGTTCAAAGACATTGCTATTGCGTATTGGCCTAATTCTGGGTTCCGGAGAAGACACCACAGCCTCGGCTGGTGCTTCTGTATCATTCTCAGTGTCGACTCTTTCGGGGGGTGTAGCAAAGTAGGAGGATAGTGTGGATGTATTAGAGGCTGCCTTGCTGCTGCGCGTCGAGCTTGGGAGAGAAAGAAAACAATGGTGTTGGTTAGATAACTACATTTTATTGTTCAACAACTACGAAAACATGTTTAAATTAAAATTACCGAAGCTTTTTGGATTCTTGCTGCAAGTTCTTGAAGTTCGCTTTTCGCGTCTGGCGATCCATGCTTAGCGTTCTGTCCTTAGATTCTCAGCCTCCTCGATGGCTTCTCTAATAAATTGTGCCGGACGCGGCGCGCCAAACTCGAACAGGCCTTTTCTGTCCTTTTCCTGCTCCGAGGGTGTCAGTAGTATTTTACACAGCTTCTCGTTTGACAAGCGCTGCATGGGAGTTAAGCTGTAGAAAAGCGGCATTAATTCCTGACATATAAAACATCATTTCCGGGTGGGCTATATTTACCTCCAAATTCCAAAGCATATAGCTCCAGCTGCTAGCAGGGCGTAGGCAAAGCGATTCCGGTAGGCATACGATGGTGTGCCGTGAGTGCGTCTGGGCTTTCGCTTGATTGTATCAATTCGATCCATAACTACAGTAGCAGCCCAGCACAGTATTATATAATTAAAAGCATTTTAATTTCGCAAGGCGACAAGAATACAAAACACGGCGTTGATCGAACACTAATTGTTATCGGAGCAACAGCTGTGCATCTGTGTATGTTCTGGTCACACTAGAAAACAACAAAACGTACATTCGTACATATATATATATATAGCTGTAATTAATTAGCGGACAGTCCGCAGAGAGAAATCGAAAACATATAGTGATTTGAGCGTCTATAAAGTGCGGGTGCACACGTCACACTCGCAAACACATTGAAATTTGCATATTAAACACAATTTAAGTTGCAAGTGGACTGTGAAAAGTTGATAACCACTGAACTTACAACTACAACTACAAAATACGCAGTGGCATTAGACAAAGCGTACGGTGCCCGTAGCGTAGCACTAGTCCGAGTACAGTAAACAGACAAAAACAGCGAGAGAAGATAACCAGTGCGAAGCAGACAAAGCAAAAGAGTTCGACCGCACTGGACAGACTGGGCCGAGCGTGATACAGGAGAAGCGAAAACAACTGAAACGGCGAAACAACAGCTGAAACGAAATTCGATAAAAAATATATATTATTATACGCCCTATCTGCGGGCGTCGGTACTATCCATTGACCAGTACGGGAGACGACGGCAAGCTGCTTAGTCATGGCGCGAGAGGATGAAGAAAGCATCGTGGACAACGAGGAGGTGTCGCGGCCAGAGGAGGAGGCAGATCAACAGATAATTTCACGCGATCGCCGTCAGGATAATGAACTGGCGCTGCCCTCCGGTGGCTGCTGCATGCCCGCGAGCACCAGCCATCGCTTCATGGCCCTGGTCTTCATGTGCCTCCTCGGCTTTGGCTCGTACTTCTGTTACGACAATCCCGGAGCATTGCAGGACGTCTTCAAGAGGGATCTGCACTTGTCCTCCACCGAGTTTACGCTCATCTATTCGATCTACTCCTGGCCCAATGTGGTGCTGTGCTTCCTCGGAGGATTTCTGATCGATCGTGTTTTTGGAATACGACTTGGAACGATTATTTATATGCTGATCCTGCTCGTGGGCCAGGTGATCTTTGCCAGCGGCGCCCTGCTGAATGCCTTCTGGCTGATGATTTTGGGTCGCTTCATCTTCGGCATTGGCGCAGAGTCGTTGGCTGTGGCCCAGAACAGCTATGCCGTGCTCTGGTTCAAGGGCAAGGAGCTGAACATGGTCTTTGGACTGCAGCTGTCTGTGGCCCGTTTCGGCAGCACCGTCAACTTCTGGGTGATGCAGCCGATTTACAACTACGTCAGCAAGTTCTATCACGACAATACTACCCTTGGCGTGGTCCTACTCCTGGCCACACTCACATGTGTGATGTCGCTGATCTGCGCCCTCATTCTGGGCTTTATGGACAAGCGGGCTGAGCGGATTCTGCAGCGGAACAACAATCCATCTGGGCAGGTGCCCAAGCTCACCGACATCTTCTCATTCAAGCCCCCATTCTGGATGGTCTCGATCATTTGCGTCGCCTACTACGTGGCAATCTTTCCATTCATTGCCCTGGGACAGAACTTCTTCATGGACCGCTTCCACATGACGGCGTCCGAGGCCAACACGGTGGACTCGCTGGTGTATCTGATTGCTGCCGTATCGTCGCCCGTCTTTGGCTTCATCATCGACAAGGTCGGACGCAACGTATCCTGGGTATTTACGGCCACTCTGACGACCATTGGAGCCCATGCCCTGTTGACATTCACGGATCTAACACCCTACCTGGGCATGGTCATTATGGGGCTATCCTATTCCATGCTGGCTGCCAGCTTGTGGCCCCTGGTGGCCCTCATCATTCCGGAGTATCAGCTTGGCACTGCCTACGGCTTTTGCCAGTCCATACAGAATCTCGGCCTGGCCGTCATCACCATCCTGGCTGGCATCATTGTGGATCACAGCCATAATGAGCACACGTGGTTGCAGCTCTTCTTCATGGGATGGCTGACCATTGCGCTGATCGCCACTGGAGTCATCTGGGCGTACGACAGGAAGCAGAAGGGAAATCTGAACATGACGCCGCAGCAGCGGGCACAGTTCGTTAGCGCCGAAAACTACCAGCATTTTGAATAGGCTGCGTCGGGCAGTCAGAGCAGAACCCGCCCGCAGATTGGATTATTATCGGTTACTTAGTATAGGCATAAAATTGTTCCCTGCGGGCAAACGCTCGAACAGAGTCGTAAGAGTCGATGATCTTGTTCCACGATGTGATGATGAAGTGTGATGTGCGCCGCCACGAGTCGCGAATTGGTATTTACTAACTGCAATTGTTTTGTCAAACGATATGATATACAGAATACGCCCTGATCAGCCCTGATTTCCGCTCACCCACACATATGAGTACGATTGCATGAATCCCAATCCCAATTATTACGAGTATATGTATCTCCAGGCACTTCAGGGATGATCACGGCGATTTATACATATGTTAATTTTATGCTATGTATTTTTAGAACAATTTATTATTACAGTTATCGCATGTTTATTGTGTCAGCGTTTTACAAATTAAACTTAAAATCCCACAAATAAAGTGTTTGCATTGCTCAATAAATCGAAACCTACTTCACTGAAGGCGACTTCTCCTTTGGAAGTCAAGAGTTTTTTGGAATTATTTTCACGCTTAAACCGTTCAAAACAAGACCCATCATCAATTAAATTGTTTGACTAATTTTTCATTATTTAAAACATTTTAATGTCTACCCTCCTCTCCAGGACCTCAATGCACTGCCTACTGTCCAGGCTGAGTACCTTCAGTTCCTTCAGGGGTTTCGTCTTCTCCTCCACCGATTGGGTACTGCGCAGCGTCTCCAATAGCAGTAATGCCGTGCCCCGCGCTGCCGTCAACAGTTTGGTGGCGTCGTGAATTCTATTGAAACGAAAGTCGGGTGTCAGGTTTTGTGTTTACAGTTGTAGCTTTGCATGACTCACCGCTTGAAGAGTAGCTCTGGGCGGCGGGTGTACTGGCCAAAGAGGGCGAACAGATTGCGAGTCATATCGTAATTGAACTGCGCTGCACCAGCCGGAGAGAACTTTGTGTTCATGACCATGCTCTCGAGCATGAAGTCATCGAGTGTGCGGGCTATCAATCGGAGCGTCTGATTGAACAGATTGGCGGACAGTTCGCGCTCCAGATTATGGAGCATGGTGACCAGCACCTGGAACATTTCGCCGCCACTGGACGATAGTATGAAAGGCTCCTTGGAATTGTGTTCCGGCATAGTTGGCCAGCAGTCATGGCGATAGTTCATTGACCTGGCCTTCATTTCATGGGTCTCGCGCGTGGCCAGATTCCGCATTAGCTGCCGCGACCAGTGCTCCACCTCCGAAACGGCATGGTCAAATACAGAATGGATCTCCTGGGCATTGGGACCGGCCAGTGCGGAATGCAAATGCAGATAGTGCACATTCTCCCCCCACTCGCGCAGCACCATGATCAGATAGTTCATGGCATTCAGAACGGGAATGCTGCCCACGTCGCCGCTGCTGTGCAACTGCACCAGACGCCGCCGGAAGCTGTCGATCAGCTCGAGCTGTAGCTGCAGGAACTGCAATTGGTGTCCCGGTTGAATCAAGCCATAATAGCGATCCTTGATAGCCTCCAGCAGTCGCATAAACTGGTCGGCACACCTCGGTATCTTCAAATCATCCTCGAAGGTGTTCGGATCAATCAACTGGAAGGGCGACTCCGCCATCAGTATATCATCCATTCTCTCCGCACAGACTGGGAATTACAAGACTGAAATTATGAGCATAAACCAAAGCATAAAATGAGTATATCCAGCATACATCTCTCCTCCAAGGAAATCCAGCGGAGCAAATACATGGGCTGAGTGATGACGGAAATGGCGCTGGGAAAACTGGCCGGATAACCAAACGTCTCACGCAGCTCCGCCTCAAAGGCCAAGGTCTCATCCAGCAGATGGGCAAACAGTATCTCGTCCTGGGCAATCTGCTCAATGTCCCCGGCTAGTTTTTCAATGGTCAACTGCACGAGGCCTCTCATGAATTCAAGCTGGAATGGAATTATACTAGAGGATACAGCTAGTGCGGAGTAAGATGAAGTCTTACCCTCAGATTGTAGTCTAGTTTTCCGGCCCTTATCGCTGCTGGCTGGAATGTCTTGCCCACAAAGAAATGAGTCTCCTTCCCCCAGTTGAGAATCTGTGTGTAGTACCATTCGGGTTTGTCTAATCGATTTGTTTGGCGTGTGCCCGTGAAGTGATACGTGAATCGCTGCCGATATGGGGCTAGCAGAAGCTGCACCACCTGGCTGATGGGTTGGCAGACAATGCTAGGCGTGATACTCCGCAGGGGAGCGTGTTCTTCGGCGGGAGACTTGATGAGGAACATATACTCCGCCAGCAGTTGGGCCTTCTCGGTGTCCCGCGTCGGGGAATAGTTCAACGCTTGCTGTTCCATGTGGGCCCATCGCATGCTCTTGAGAACGGTCTCAAACTCGCTGGACAGTCGCTTGATGATCAGCTTGTGCCAGTAGATGGCAGTGCGCTCAGCGAAGGCTTGCAACGATCGTGCCTGGACGGCATGCAGACGCCCCACCACACTGTGCTCGCAGTCGTTGCTTTCGTAGAGTGTGAGGTACAGGTTGACTAGCTTGTCCTCGTCCTTGCCCTTGATGCTGCTGCTCAGATCGCCGCTGATCTCCTGGACATCCTGCACCAGGCGCAGATACTGTGAAAGACGTTGGAGCTGACGTACTTGCTGCAGATCCTCGGCCACGCCGTCCAAGGTGGGCTGGCACTCCAGGAGTTTCTGCTGCAGCTTCTCCCTAAACTGGGCCAGTTTATGCAGCTCGAAGTCAATGCTTTCGCAGACTTGTTGCTGGCACTGGAAGGCAGATTTGTAGCAGGACACATTCTGGGGGTCCTCATAGTCCAGCTGTGCGGGCGAAAAACGCATTAGACCCAAGGAAATGTGTAGACTATACCACTCCACTTACAGTCTGGGACAAGGCCTGCAGCCGTTCCTTGTAGTGAGTAACCAGCAAATTGGCGCGATGCAGCCGGCTGGCATCCTTGCCGATCTCTTCATTTACGCGCGTCGCTATGCGCAACTCCATCTCGCTCAGCTTTGCATGCATTTCGGTGCAGCAAAAGCTCGAACAACATTCAAATCAAATGCTAAACGAGCCACGAACCACGTATAAAAATAAATAATTTGTTGTTGTTTTAGCACTATAGGCCGTTTTCGTCATTTCCAAAACGGTCACACTTTTTCTGCTACATTTTAGGTCGATAACACAGAAAAACCAGGGCAGCCAGCACACTTATCGGACGCCTTGTGGTCAGACGCGGGCGTTGTTTGAAAAGACAGGTGTAGTTGGCGTCGGTTTTGTTTTGCTTGTATTTTCTTTGTGTAAACTTAAGTTAAAAATGTACACACCCAAGCAGAAGATCTTTGGCCATGGCCGTGCACCCTCGCCGCACACCCCGATCAGTTTCAGCCGAGAGTTGCGTCAAGTTCTGCAAGAAAGAAATTTGCTCACAGCCAAGTCGCGCAGGAAAGGTAATGGACAAAGGCTGCAGCATTTGCACAACCTGCTTATAATTGTATGTGTACATTAATTGCAGTGTGCTCGATGCTGGACAGCGCCTCCAGCAGTCCCATTGGTTCGCCCAATCCGGATGCTGGCAAGCGCATGGGCTTCCGTTTGCAGGCCATACAGGAGATTATCACGTCGGAAAAGTCATACTTGGAGCAACTGGAGCTGCTGATGAACTATTTCGTGCGTCCGTTAAAGGAGCAGGCCATCATCGACTGCTCCAACCATACGTTGCTCTTCGGTCAGATTGAGATGATCCACAATTTGAATGGAGAGTTTCTGCGAGAGCTGGAGGCCAACATGGAGAATGTGGCACATGCCTTCCTCAAAATGGCACCGTTCTTCAAGCTGTATTCGGTCTACGCCTTCGATTATCGTGGTGCCCTGTTGATTATCCAGGATTTGATTCTGAAAAATCCCGTGTTTAGAAAGTTTTTGGAGCAAACAGAGAGTCGTCCCGAGGTGCAGCGTAAGCTGAATTCTTTGATGATCGTGCCAATACAGCGTGTGCCCCGCTACAAGCTGTTGCTGGAGCAGGTCCTACTGTACACGAGTCCAGCGGATGCCGACTACAAGTTGTTGAAGGGTAAGAGGATGCAGAAAAGACAATTTAAACCGGTTTATAATTGGCTGTCCCTTTCAGAGTCTGTCAAAGAGATCGATGCCACTGCCGCGCACATCAATGCGTGCGTGGAGGAGCAGGAGGTTACCCAGTATCTCATCCATTTGCAAAACTCCCTGGTGAATCGCACACCAAACATTGTCAAGCCCTCAAGGCGCGTGATCAAAGAGGGGATCCTCCAAAAGATCACCCACAAGGGCACGGAAATCAAGCGCTACTGTGTGCTCATGTCGGACATATTTATGTACTGCAAGCTCGTCAAGGATCGGGCCCCAAACAGCGTCGTGGAGAACTCGCTTGAATGCTGTTGCATCTTTCCACTCAAGAAGTGCAAGGTGTTTGAAATGCTGCCGGGCAACTTCAAATTGACTTGCCAGAACGATGGTATTATCTTTGGCAGTGGAGACTTACAGCTGTGCCGCACCTGGGTGAGTTTCATACGCGATGCCATTGATATGCATGTCCAGTGTCGCAAGACGCTGCGCAAGGACTCCAGCAAGAGGACACCTATACGCAAAAAGGATATGAAGAAGTTCGGAGCTGATTATGTACTGAGTCCCAACAACAAGCGAAAATGCGTGAGTAATTTTCAGTTGGATGCATTCGAGGCAAAGCTAATTCTGTTTGAATATTTGTTTTAGGAGTACGAGACCGTTTTCCGCAATAAGAATCGCAGCACGGACTCTGAGGATGAGACAGAGGATACTGCTTGCTTTCCACGCAAACGCAAGGTGCCTAGCGCCATCCTAAGAACTCCAAACACCGTCGGAAATATCGGAAAATCTTCTTTATATAAAAAAACGAATGGTTTGGCCCAGCCGCCACCACCACCACCACTGCCACCTGTTCAGTTGCGCCATCAGCCGGGGACAGTGAGAAACTCCGTCTGCAAAGAGAATCGCATATCCAAGCTGTACAAGAAGATTGCCACAGGCGATAAGGTTGCCAATGTGCGTGGCATACTGAAACGCAGCAATGTGCCCGCTACGAGCTCTGACCACGATCCCACCTACGGTTTTGCCAGTCGCTACTCCGACTCTAAATCGTACTTTCGGGCTCACAACGTGGACAACACCATACCCAGAGTAGTGAAGCGCGAGGATCTGTTTAATGGGGAAAATATGTTTTCTATAAATTCAGGCGGTGGCAGCCAGGCTTTAGGGCAGCGGAAGCAAGGCCAAGAAGAGATGCTTTCACCGCCACAAAGAAAGCGGGTTAAGTTCGATGACACCTTGGATGAACTCTCGCCGGCTAATGAGCAGAAACCTTTTGCCTTCACAAGCAGTACTGAAGCCGCTCCCAAGGCCACATCCTTGCGCGAACGCATCTATGATTTCTTTGCCAATCTATTCTAGAATTAGATCAGCGTAAACATAATCGTCGCATTCATCTTTTTCATCATCAATAAAAACATTTACAATTCAAATCAACTCGTCTGCCGCAGTTCACAGACTTTACGCATGAAATTATCTACAGCATCCTCGCTAATCTCTTCCAGCCAGCTTCCATGGCTCTTAAAATGCGAGCCAATTATGACTGCATGGGCGTCCTTGAAGTACAGACCAATGTTATCCTTGGTCACGCCCGAGCCAATCAGCAGGGGAACCTTTACGCGGCCCGACAACTCCTGGAGATCTTCTGGACTGGCGGCATGTCCTGTTGCTGTGCCTGTGATGACAATGCCATCGGTGAGAAAGAACTCGGCTGCATGCGCTGTCTCCAGCAGACTGACATCCGAGGTAATGGCATGCGAGCTGTGCTTCTTCTTCAGATCCGTGAAAATTAATACATCTTCCGCATCGATAAGTTTGCGGTAACGCAGCAGATCGCCAGCACACGCATCCGTGTAGCCCTCGTCGGCCACATGACCAAATACAAAGCCTTCGCTGCGAATAAACTGTAGCTGACTAGCTTTGGCTATGGCCAGAGCCTGCTTGTTGCCACAGGCTAAAACCTGGACACCGCAGGGAGTTTCGCTGGGGATCACATCACGCACCGCTTGTCCAAGCCGTGTCATGCAAGCGACTATTTCCGCACCGAGGAGGCGTTCTGGGACATATGGAATATCATGCATATTCTCGATGAGTACGGCATCCTGCAAATGATGCTCAAATTAGAAAACAACAATATGCTGACTGTATAGCATACCAGCTGGTGGCGCTTGTAGAGATTCGCCTCATATATGGCCTTTTCAATCGTCTGTTTCCAGTTACCGGCATATCGAGGTGTTCCTGATTTTGTGGTGCGCCACATTAAAATCATTCGATTTGGTTTTCATTTGTGCCCTTAGCTCACCTGGCAGCGCGTCCACATGTATCATGCCAATAACTTTGCATTTTTGTTGGCCAAATATCTTTAAAAATCGTTGCATTATAGAAATATAGTAAATATAAACAGTAAAACAGTAAATAAAGTAAACAACTAACAGCTGATCGCCGGCTTTCAGGGCTGGAGTTGTTTCTAAATGATTTCAGTTCATCTTATCATATATTAAATCATGTTATTCATCAAAAGCAATTCTTAATAAATACATATGTCCTTGATTAATAATATAAGTTTGAGTTTATGTAAACAACTAAATCTTCTGAAAAATATATGGCGCAACAGGTGAACCAGTGGTTCGTTTATCGAGTACATCGAGCAACTTTGGCACGGAATGAGCAACAAGTCTGAATACCTTGGGAAAATGGATATTATGGACTTGAGATATTGTTTGTAATTTCAGGCTCCAATTAATGCCGAAACTAGTCAGTCTTTTTTTTTTAAGACATCAACGAAATTTTTTAGCTCACGGGTACCAATAATAGGTATCAGAACCGGGATAAATGTATATATATAAAACAAAACATATGCATTAATAGTTAAAAAACATGTCAATCTAGGATAAAATCATAAATAATGTTTCAATGGAGCTTGGAACAACAAAATTAGCATCAATTAAAAGAAATAAGGTATACAAAGGTACACACGCATACAAGAAACTTGGTTGACCAGCAACACTGACGTCACATTTAGTCAACATTACGTTTTATACTTTGGCCGCTTTTGTTTGAACCTTATTATGTAAAAAATCCAATGAAAAAGAGTTCTGAAAACTAGCCAATCCTGAACAAAATTCATTGAGAAATTGGATAAAATTATTTTTTTAGTGCTGAGAGGGCCATCTATATAGTAATATTAAACTGAATATCAAAATTGACGAATTTCATATCACAAAATATCACGAGTCTGCCAGCGCCACAAAACGATGACACATTAGTTTTATGTTGCTTTTGTTTTAACCTTAATATGTAAATAATCCGGATGCCATTTCGCAAGCCAGGCTTTGGGCGATATCAGGTGAGCTTTGTTTTCCGTAAATTCTAAGATCCTTCAAATAAGACGGCATTCCTATATACTCTACACTGCCTTTAAAAGCAATGACCTCACGAAATACCACTTTAAATAAATGAAGAGTAGAAACAAAAACAATTATGACACTTGGCCGAAACAATGGAGAACGTTATCGCTTCACAAAGACCATAGACGCCCCCGCCCAGCAATAGCACAAATGGGAACTGGGAATGGAAGTCCGTTTACAAAGTTACAAAAGCCAAATGAAAGGCTTCCCGCCCCATTTAGGCCCTTCACAGCCTCTGTTGTTGCGTCCGCCACTATATTACATTGTTTCAGCAGGAGTGGGTACTCGCAATGTCCTTGAGTTTGATTTGGTGGGTGGCTAGGTGGTTCCGTGCCCCTCTCTGATTGCCAGTGCTTAGCGGAAACGGCTGTGCGAGACAGAATTTCAATTATTGCAGCGAGCGGTTCTCCTCTCTTCTGTTATGTTCTTCCTATTCCCTATGCTCCGTTTCCCCCATTCGCTATTTGTTTGTTTGGTTGTTTCGTTTCGACATGTCTGTGCGTGTAACAATTGCGCTTTGTATAGTTTACAATATGTACATAAAAGTACATATGTATTTTGTATTGTATGTAAAAGTGATTGTTGTTCTCGATTGGCCTTGTAATGGACACTCCTGCGGGTCCATTTAATCGAGTTGGGTGCTTTGTTTGTGTGCTACACAAAAAAAATGTGTGTACAGGTGTATGTACATAGGTGCAATCTTGTTGAATGTTGCTTACCAACTGATTGGCCAACAAGATCCTGAGGCTGATGAGGGTGGCTGGGTGGCGCAGGGCTGATAAAATCTAATCTCGTTCTCAAATTCCAACTCCTTCCCCAAAACAACAGCCTCAGCTTCGGCAAACATCCCAGAGCCAGAGTCTGTGCGCCTCACCTGTTGGGCAAACAATATAAATTATTTATAATATGAGCCAAACGTCCTTTCGCACTTGCCAACCACCCAGCCAGCCCTCTTCCGGCTAGCTCTCTTACAGGACCTGTCCTTTGGTGTCGACACATGTACACACTTAGTGCCCCTTGTTGTTGCTGCTGGTGCTTGTAGTTGCAACAAGTTGTTTCCGTGTTTGCCTTTGTGCCACGTGCCCCATACACCCCATCTCTGATTATGCGGGAGGAACAGCCTTCATGTGTGTGTGTGTGTGTGTTTGTTCTTTTGAAAATGGCAAACAGAAAACATTATTTACAGGATATCATCCTTCTCCTTCGCAGAGATCCACACTCAGGGCCATATTTTTCTAATTAGCCAGGACCACAGAAAAGGTGCTGGCAAGGCAAAACAACTATTGGCCAAAAGCTGAAAGTTGCACTAATTAAGCCAGCTGCAAGTTAAGGAAAACAGAATATACGAGTATGTACGTGAATGTACGTAAATGAAAAGCTTTTGAAACGAAGTGAAAAACATCCTTTTGATGGGAAGCATCGTTTGGGTAAACAATTCAATTATTTAACAGCCAGCTAGGTGAAACTTTTTATAGCCCACTAATTGGAAAGTTTCCGCCAGTCAAGAGCGTGGCTGCATTCTTCCTTCACCTGTCAGCTGCAGATTGGGCGACAGCAGCCCCCAATAAAGCCAAAGCCCTGACCGCAAAAACTTGCCAGGACATTCATTGGACAGTAGACACTCGAGGTCGTTCCCAAGGAAACAACAATAGAAACAGTGTTACTCGTACGAGACAAAAAAAAAAGAAAAAAAGAAACCCACTACGCGGAAATCAGGCTAACGAGTTTTCCATTAATCTCAGCGTAAATTACATTTTCACACCTAATTCCGCAGACCAACCCAGTGCCTGTGCCAGCGCTGGTGCCTGGGGCGGCCAACTCTTTATCACTGTCGAATCAGCGGACGACGACCATTTTATAAATTAGCATTTCAGACATTCTGGCTACAGTGCTGGCGACGTTGATTTGCCATTACTCATTTCGCCCGGAGACACCGCGGGACTGCTGCGCGAGACGCGTGAGAGTATTTGATAAATTTCCCATTTTATTTGGCATTTGAGCGTTTTCATTAGTTAGTGTAAATGCAATTAGCCAATAAATTGAATGAATATTACCAATTTCCATGCAAGCCCCATACACAGACACACAAGCTCTCAGGGACAAGGACAAGGACATCGACATCGCCATCGACACTGCCATCCGCCAACGCGCGCCTGTGCGTGCGTGCTGCTATCAGTGGTCATAATTTCTGGATGTCCGCGTCCACGCATCGATCATCATTGGCCCAGGGAGTGGGTAATAGACGGGACACGCAGACCGGGGACGACAGCTCCTGCTGGCAGACGGCAGACAACGTTACAACGTTGCAAATTGGCAAATGCGCGAAAACAATGCCAAAAGCCAGACAGGCAGACAGGCAGATGCTCATGAAAGGGGGGGGACATGCGATGAGGCGTTTTACCTGGGCGAAAAGGATGAAGTATTCCCGACCTTGATTGAGCTTGCTCTAAAATATAATTATTTCTGCACAAGCTATAGGCTAACAATTTTCTTTAAGAAGGGGGGTTTTTCTGGTTTAAGTTTCGCTTGAACTTTCCAGTTTGCAAAAACAAAAAATGCCAACATATTAATATTTTACAACCCCGCACCGCAGGTGAAACCAAAGCTTTGTGGCTGCTTCTCTTTTTATTTTTGTTATTTAATGAACAGCGTGGAATCTCATCAACGCGCAAGCCTGGTGGTGCTCGTGCTGCTGCTTACCTTGCACTTTATTTAATGTTGTCTGGCAGCCTGTTTAACAGACACACACCCCGCCCCCCAACCCAGCAATATACTCGTAATAAATGATTTAGGTGACAAAAACTTTGCAGACAGAGAAAAAGAAACCGCACACACAGCGGGGCTATGAATTTAACTTTTGGTAATGAAAAATAAACATGGAAATCCAAATGATATAGAGACGAAAAGTTAAATTGCAAGTGCTGCTGCATGAGCAATTAGTTGGCGCTGTGTGCCACGCTTGCACAAATTGGCTGCAACTGGTTTGCTGCCAAGAAATAAGTTACTCAATTTGCCAGCAGAGCACAGGATGAGCCAAAGAGAACGAGAGAGGTGTCCTACAAATAAAGCAATAATGAAAACGACGAATTTTCAAGAAAACTTTAATTAAACTAAGCCACACACCGTGAGACAGCAACTGTTTCGTGACCTAAGGTGTGGCACACCCTTCAAGAACGACATAACAACAACAAAAGCAATGGAAGTTCGATCGGGGAGCGCCAAGCCAGGTGGGGTGGTGGTGCTGGTGCCCCAGACATGGCTGGGGTTGGTCGCTGCCTAACTCTGGCCGGCTATCGCGTCGTTTTATCTCGACCCAGTCCGAAATTGTCGCCCCCAAATATATGCTACACTTGTGTTACTCTATTTTTTCACGTTCTCTTTTGGCCAAAAACCAAATAGAGATGGCCACGTGAGAGTGTTAGAACAACACGATGGATGAGCGGCCAAAGCGGAATGAGGATAGTCCCTTAATTATTACTGGAGTTTCAGCAGTGGTCCCCCCAGCAGTAGTCTGTTGTGCCAGAAGCTACCAGACCCCTATTCCCGGAATGAACAAGTCCATTGCAGAACTTTGTTTACTCTGCGGTCGTGACCACAGCTGGGTCTGACTCCACACCGCTTTCCATCTCAACTTTGACTTTCGCTTCTGTGGTTTTTTTTTTTTCTTCTCTTCTTGTCGTACTGCGTGTGCTTGGGCCATCGTCATTTGGCTTTTAAGCTGCTCCACACTTTGGACAAGTTTTGCCGGGCCGGACATTGGTGGGCGATTAGATTTTGCGGCGCAACTGGAGGCATAATTAGTGAAAGTGATTTGTATCTACGGACTTTGGCGGCGGCTATAAATAGCTGACATTTAGAGGCGCTATTGCTACAGCTACAGCTGCTGCTGCGCTTGGCATTTTGTTGTGCCATTTCATTTGCATGCAACATCATTCTGCTTCTTTCATTCCAAGGCTTAAGTCAGAGTAGAGGGGCTTAAAGTGCAGCCAGCACCCAGGCTACGGGTCGACTGCCTGCAGCATAATGAAGCTGGAAAAAGGCATTTGGATGAGGCTCCAAGGCAGGATCTACTCGGGTATTTATGGCATTTGCTTGGTTATTCCTATTTTTGATGGAACTCGCATTCTGTTGTTCTGTGCAGCAAGGATTTCCATTAATTTAAATTTGATTCTAAATTTGTAAAACAAATTTCAACTTTTGTTACTGAAAATCTCTGTAAGAGAGAACCTTTCAGAAACCTCTTTCTGGCCCTGCACTAATGCAATGGTCACTAATTTAATTAGAAAACGGAATTTGTTCCTTAGTCTCACATGGAAAATCTCTAATGGAATTTAAAGTTTGCTTTTACTTACCTTTTCACAAATCTCTTGCTGCTGGATATTCTCCAATCTAATTGCAAGTTTAGCTGCCTGAGAATGCAGCATAAATCTGAAATTAAGTTCTGAGATGGCTACACACTCACACACACTCCTTTCCGAATGTGTGTGTGTGTGTGTGTGTGTGGGGCAACCAATCAAAGTTCAAAAGTTCACATCATTGACAGCGGAATAAGTTTCTGGCCCCAACTCAAATTAAGAAAAGATAGCAAGCAGTAGAGAGACGAGACGCACAAAACTTTTATCATTTGCACAGTCCAAGAAGAGAGGAGAGAGAAACGAGAAACAGTTAGTTACGGAAGTACTCTCAGTACTTGCCACACACACACCCACACCCGCACCCCCTGTGCCACATCCCAAGGCACTCCTGGTTCTGCTTGTTCACCTGCTTGAGATTGTCGCTTATTTAAGCAGCTTAATTTTCGGAAGCTGTTGCCAATGGCAGCATTGGGTGGCAGGCAGAAAAAGAGCGCCAGTTCCAGTTCCAGTCCCGGCCCTCTACCCTGTTGTTTGTACTTTTGCCAGATGAGAGTGCAGTGGCAGTGGCAGTTGCAAGGGTAGTGACAGTCAACAATCAATCTCGGTCCGTGGTGACAGCCAACAATGCATGATGCAAAAATGTTCCCCTGTTCACACCCAAGGCCCCATGCGAATACGGATATATGATACGGGCGGAGACACGCACACACAATCATCGACCCAGTCACAGTACCAGTCCCGGGCCAATCAAGCGCAAGGTATGACTGTAAATCTGTGGACACACGAAATGCCTTCAATCCCTGGCATGCTGTGCCCTGCCGTGGTTCCTCTTTCTGTCTGCCATTGCCTGCCATTGCTGAGCGCCGTGTACGTGGAGGCATGGAATTGGGTCACTAGGCGAGAGGCGGGGTTCCGTTCTGTTCCGCACACACAGATTCGGGCAGGGCTGGGGGAGTAATCGCTTAGCAGCAGAATGGTCGATGGGTTGGAGGTTGGAGCAGATGGATGCGTGGATGAGTGGGTGGAAAAGCACAACAGGAAGGAAGCCCGCGCGCGCTAAGCACCATCGCTTGATGGAGCTCATCATAATTTTTTGGGGCGCCACGGTGGAAAACTGAGAAACAAAACAAATCGAAGCAAGCAAGCAGCAACATGTTAACTACGCGAAAGAGAGATGGCAGGAATGAAGTCAAGAGAGAGAGAGAGCAGAGAGAGAGCGTGTGGGCTTGGGAGAGTAAAAGCTTTGGCCGTTAGCTTTTCGAGTTTTTGCCACACTCACTGTCTAACCTTCATCTTGAACTTCATGGCCAGACGGAGAGAGAGCATCGCAACGGTTTTGGGTTCTATGTTTCATGTTTCTAGGCCACAGATGGCCCTCCCGCCAGCCCTCTGTCATGGAAACATATGCAACAGGAGGGAGTTCATTCATGACCAGCCCACATCCCAAACCCCTTAACGCAGCAATGGCAAAACCGTAGTCATGGAGCAGGACATAGCATGAGGGAGGGGATAATATTTCGATGTTATTTCAAAAATTTAATTTATGCAAAGGGGAAATTATTCAAAATTTATTTATGGCATGGAAAAATATTTTAAAATGAAGTTTGAATTTATTTGAACAAAATATGTATTTATATTTTATTTATTTAAAACCAACCTAGCAAATATTCAAGCTAAAATACACTAATAAATTTACTAAAATCTTTGATTAAAATTTAAATTAGATATTTTCAAACAGATTTCCTTGCTAAAGTAAATTGCAATAGAATTTTATTTTGAAAATTCAATTTTCCCGCTTGGTTCCTAACGGCTCAACTCCGCCAGAGCTTTCTTCAACCAAAAAAAAAAAAAAGAGAAGAACAACATCGCAATTGGCCTCTCTCGAAGCTTTACTCTCTCTCTCTCGCTCTCTGTGTGCGCTCTCACACACGCACACCATGGCAGGCTCTTATCAGAGCAAAAACGACTAGCTGGAAGCAAGGCAGCCAGTCAGGACCCGCTTTTAAGGATAGCACGGGAGCACGAGCAGCAGCAGGAGCAGTGGCAGTAGCAGCAACAGTGCGATGCACAGGCACAGGCACAGGCACAGCTACAGTTACAGCTAGAGACCCGTTTATAAGGTGAAGCCCAAAATTGGAGCAGCTCAGTTCGCTGTTGGCAGGCGTCGCCGAAGGTAGTAGCCCTTATCCATCCAAGAGCAGGACGGAGTTAAAGCCAAAGCCAAAGTGCCAGGAGAACACAGAGCCAGAGGAGAAGAAGGTAGCCCTCAAAGAAGTTGTAAAGTGACAAATTGTCGGACAGTCAGTCGTCAGGACCTCCCATTGAGGGACGTGTTCGAAGTGAGTGCGCGACGCGAAGGGCCAGCCGAGGGCCAAAATGAAATCAAATGAAACGAAACGAATAACCCAACTAAAGTAAACTACAACACGACAAAACTAAACCAAATTGAATTGAATTAAGAATTGAAAGATGTAGAGAAGGAGCAGGAGCAGGATTAGCGGTAGCAGAACAATTAAAAGAAAATTGCACGCAGAGTCAAGAGAGAGAGAGAGAGAGAGGGATAGCAGGGACCAAGGACACCAGCAGGATCTGGTCGTTCATGTCACGCTGCATTTGCACATAATTGCAAACTGTTGCGCGGTCTGCAGTTTCGCTTTTTATTGCCAAGCGATAAAATAAAAATCCATTTGCCAGAGGATCCCTCCCATTCCCATTCCCCCAACTGTTGCACATAGATGAGCATTTATTCCCACATAGGATACTGCCCCAGGACACGGAACACAGAGAACGGAGCACACAGAACACCACACTGCACTCTGCCCAACACACAGAAGAACATAACCATTTCTTTTACGATCTCAGTCCTGGCATTGAACATGCCCCATTAAATATGCCTCTGAATGTTTTGTTCAAGTTGAAAAATTCGCCGCCGTTTCAGAGAACGGAAAACGGAAAAAGTGCACAACCCAAAATTATGCTAAAATAAATATAACGAGTACACAAGAGGCAAAAAAAATAATATCACAAAAGCGGAGCAAACTTCACGAGGAATTCACGAATTTGCATTCGAATTTTTAGTTTTTGGACCTGAAGAACGAACACCAGGACCAGCCCAGGACCAAGCCGTGTGCCAATTTATGCGGCCATAAAAGTTAAAGGGGGAAATCACCCAAAAGAAAACCCAAAGTAGAGAGGGTGAAGGAGAATCACTTAACCTACTGCAGAGACAGGTGAGTGGTGAATGAGTCCTTGAACAGGTCCGTTCCGGTTCGGTACGGTCCTCGTCCTCGCCTGTAATCTCGATAAATTATCGACAATATGCCAACGGCATTCATCTGTATCATCCCCATTATCCACGCCACTCGTACACGTACTCCTACAATTAATTCGAATCAAAAAATGTTTATTGCTTTTTAATTATGGAATGCCAGTCATTGTTATTTATTTAAAGTGAGTGCTCTCCAGTGAGTGGCTTGAATGGCTGCTCTCCTGCGATGAATAATTTATTGTGAATATTTTTAACACTCGAGTGCCCCACAGATGTGGATACTAGAATACAATTTCATTGAAAAGTATATGACAATATTCGGTGCTTGCACTCGTACTGGTACTCGTATGATTTATTACGATTATAGAGTCATGAAATATTCGTGAATCAATATTTATTTTAGCATTTGCGTGGATAAATCCCCGACAGAAGTCAAAATCTCTGAGGGCTTATTTTCTTTAATCATGGAAAACAAATATTGAAGGGGTGGAGACAAAAAGAGAGACAAAGCACTGTCCATCTGATGTTTGGCCCTGGGCAACTTTAATGACCGCAGTCGTATCAAGGCAAACTATTATATATATCCCCATATAATAAGTATTAAATGGGTATACATATGTGATATGCCGTGCAATTTGTTGCTTTATATCATTTGGCGGCGGCGGTGGCATCTGTGAAATGCGCAGCTGTTGTTTTTGCCGATTTTATGGTTGCAGGGGGAATATAAAAATAAATATATGTATATGGCATGTACAACCACTCATACATAAAGATATATCTGATAAAACGTAAACAACAATAGCTGCGGCAGCAACAGGCAGGCACGCAGGGACTCTGGCTGGGGCAGCTGGGGTTCTATCCAGAGTTAATTAAAACTCAACTTCAATTTGGCTCTGTTCCACTGTTGTTCTCTAATTAAATTTATGCAAAATCTGTATACCACCGCAAAACCGCCGATAGCAGTCCACCCACACCCCCCACCCCACACATATATACTATACATACTCGTATATTCGCATTGCACATCTATCGGGGGAATGCAAATTTTGAAATCAAATTAAGCAAAGTAATTCATGGCGCACCTGGCGATACGACGAGTGTCCCACTTTGGTGCCATCTGCTGTGCTTCCTCCTCCATTACATAGACAAACAATTTGGAACCCAAAGAAAAGCGGAATAACTGAAGGAGAACTGCAGAAGAGGATCAAAAGGGGAGCTTCAAACCATGAGGATACTCTGGGAAATATAGCAGGAAATTGCTAAGCAAACAATCCGCCAAATATAACAAGATTCCTGTGATAATACATGGGCCCTGTTTATTGGTTAGGGTATCCCCTTAACAAAAACCTTAACCAAAACGGTGAATGTGCGGGACACACAATGGGGCTTGGGGCAACGGGCTTTCATGTCAACTTTGTTAATTAAATGAAGCACTTAACATCGAGTCGAGACATATTTTGGTGCCAGAACCGAACAACACTGCCACCTGCCCAGCCCCCCTTTCACGGTTGAAAAGGGGGTTACACTCTTCGGTGGGTGCCTTTACGTTTTCCGTTCTCTTTGTTAAAGCTGTATATTTGTTGACTACATAATTTTCTGTGCGCCAGTTTTATTTTAATGACTGTCCAGTTCTCAAATGCTGTGGCAACTTCTTATCATAATTTCCATTTTGCTTCCGCTTCTCCCGTTTGCCACTTGTGTTGCTTTATTGCTCGTCCTGGCAACGCCCTCTGCCCCCGCCCCCTGCAGCACTCGAAGCACTCTCCCAAAACATTGTCCTTCGTCGCCCCATTGAATGCGGGGGACAACTTCAAAGACATTCGTGGACATTTCATTAGGAACTGCTTGCCTGCCCTTTGCCTTTTGCTGCTGCTATTTTACATAAAGGTTGCAGAACAAACCAGTTCGTCCTGTCCCGTCGGTCCGTCCGTCCCGCCTGTCAATTCAAATTTTGAAACAGAAACAGAAAAATAATTGGAAGAAAAATGTTTATTGCTGTTGACAGCCAGCAGCAGAACTTTTTCCGGCTCATAATTATTATTTTTTTTATTATTTTTAGTTTATAGTTTTGGTTACCCCCCAATTGTTTTTGACATATGCCATGATGATTGTTTGTTTGTTTGTTTCAAGTATTTCATTGTGGTTTCTGTGGTCTGTCTGCCCTAGGATGGGCATGGACACGGCATGGAAAAAATATACATGGCTTTTACATCAGGAGCAAAAACAAATTTGCTTTTGCGGTGGTCAAAACATTATTACATATTTAGTGTAAATGGCAGGACAAATTTTTATTTCTACGAAAACAATTTAACAAATTGATGGTATTTTTGTTTGTTAAAAATTCGTTTGAAAGGCCAATAAATTGGGGGTTATGTGGAAATTAAGTTAAAAATCAAAACAGAGCTCTGTTCAATGGCTTTCAATTGTCTTTTGTTTTCTTTCGATTTGCCGTTCTTGTTTAGCGAGTACACTTATAAATGATGACAAATGGAATCAATTTCCATGGATTATGCATTCATGTTGTATGAAAAGCATGCATAATGCCCCAGCTCATCTGGCATTATTGTAATGAAGAGCGCTCACTCCACCCCCTTGGGGGCAGAAAGCAGAGTACGTATACGTACAACAGTACCCCCAGACTCCTCGTCAATGTTGCCATGCCAATGGGCTTACGTATTCGATTCATATTGCTCTAATATGCGACAATAAGTATCTTTCATAAAGCTTCGATATTCATGTATCCCCCCTCCCCATTTGTGACACGCTGCGCTGACCTCTGTCGCCGCCTGCTGTGTGCCCAAATATTTGTGTTGTGTCGCCATCAAATCAGAATTCGATATGTGCGACAGCCAAAAGGCGGAATAAAGAGAATTCCTGAATCGGAACTCAAAGCAACGAAGTAGAAATACCCTTGAAGGAGGTATGGCCTCCTTTTTGGCGAATTATGAAGGGTGCGAGTACTACATCAGAAATGGGCAATTAACCTTATCAAGGCGCTGAAGATTCTCGCATTCCAGCAAAACAAAACAGAACACAGCAAAAATTGATGTGTCCTCAATGTCGTTAAGAATCGAGAGACGGAAGACGGGAAAACAACGGAAGAAAATAAATAAAACGGGACGAAACCGAAACCTAAACTGTATGCCATTAGGCAGACGGAATGCCAAAACTGAAAAGGAAAAATGTCAAAGGGGATGGGAATATGCATAGGACTGGTACAGGGGGGGGATAGGGAGCCCCACCAAACGGGTGGTGGTCTGGTGGCAAAAGCGAAAAAGCAATTTCAAATATTTTCGTTACCTGCTTGTTGGACATTTTTACGTTTTTCTGATTACGGCAAAGCTTTCGTTACCTCTTTTTATTGTTGTTGCGTAATTGTGCGCATGAAAAAAATAAATAAAAACGAGAGACAGAAGCGACTGCATAGGAGAGGGCGAAAGGGGTTAAGGGTAGCGCAGAATCTGTTGATGGGGTGGAGAGGGGCAGCACTTTAAGGACCCTCCCAGACATTTGAAATGCAAAGAAGCAGTGCATATTTTTTGTTGCCATGCCCCCTTAAGCAGTAAGTAGTAGATGTGAAGCAAAAACATGGCATACTTTTTACCAGAACAGGAGTGGCATGGCATGGAATGGAGAACAGGTGAAGCGGTGAACGTTGCATGGGTATTTTTGTTCCATGCGGGGGGAATCGGATTTCTCCTGGAACTCAAGTAGTTTGTTTATTAACTATGGAAAAGGAATTCCACGGAAAACTAAATTGAAAGAGTCGAGAGCTGCTGGGCAAAGAGCTTCTTAGGTAAATGGAGATACACCACAGATATAGCGGAAAACGAACTCTCCTTCAACCATAACCATAACCCACATTTGCATTAGTAATTCTTCTAAAACTTTAGATCCAAGTAGTGGAATCCTACGTCAAACATATTTCGCATATGCATAGGTCCCCTATGTCCTTCATATATCTCACACTTCTTTTCAACCATTTTCGAAGCGTCATGTGTAACGGCAAAGCTATATATTACCATACATAGATGTATGTAGTCATCCTGCTCTGGCAAAGAGCTTTTCACCCGCTGCTCTTAGGGTCTATAAATAGCTGCAGCCTTCAGCCACAGTTCCAGCTCCAGTCTCAGCCTCAGCTGCGGTCTCTACCTCCACCTCCACCTCGCTCCAACTGTTGCGCAGAGTTCGGGGATAACTAAAAATAGCCACCAGCTGGTCTAGTCGGTGGCATAAAATCCTCCGAGTGGCATAAAATCCAATAAATGCTGCTGCAGACAAAACCCAAATTACCGAAACGCAAACGCGGACGCGTTCTGTGTCTTGCACCAATGTATTTGTGTACTTTTGGTGTTGGACAAACACTCCCAGATACAAGGCATAAGGCACGGCACTCGGATGTATACATACACGTATTTGTGTGAGAGCTGTTTGGATATTTATCAGCTTGACGCATGATTGATTTATATGCCCCGTGGATTATTGATGGTCGGGCCAAGTCAATTGAAACGCGAGACTCGACAACTCTTAACATTTGTGAGCTCTGCTCCTCATTAATTATTGATACCGCGAGGCAGCATTCTGTCCTGCATGAAAATGACACAAAGAAAAGCGGAGTAACAAAGCAATGAAGGAAAACTGTTTGTAGTCACCGGGTTTTAATTGCGACTCTTCTGGGAGCAACTGCCAGACCTGTCGCCTGGTTAACTTTATTTGCTCAAGCGAGAGCTGGGAAATGTGAAGCGGGAAAGCGATGAAAAAGCAGAGCTGGGAAATGCGGGGAACCGGCAGAGGCAGCGGCAGTGGCAGCGGCATCGGAGTTGCTGCAAGAAGCGGAAGCCAGAACAAAGTGAAAATTTCCTTTTGTTTTCCCTTTAAAGGCATAGCACCCAAAAAAAAAAAAACAAAGCAAAAAACTTTCACCTTCACAACACATGGAAGAGCGGGGCAGGCGGCACGGCA